GGGTCAAACTGCTCGTGAACTGGCAGTCACCATTGGGGAGTCAGTCCACAATTATTCGTGGATTGAAGTCAATCGGCAAGGTGCGTAAGCTCAGTCGATGGGTGTCTCATGCTTTGAAGCAGTATGACATGGATTTTCGCGCCAACATGCACTTTCTCTCCTCACGCTCAGGCGCAGGAGATGGTCAGGTGTACTCGGTAGTATGTGTTTGGAAGAGCTTTTTATACTCTTACTAACGATGCCTCGCGCGTCCATTTTCATCAACTCTTTCCCGAGTTATGATCTCTAAAAATCCTCACTATCACATTGTCCGAGGACTTATGACTCAACCTATTATTTTTTATGGCCATATCACAGAAAGTATCCCTTTGTAGAGGGGTATATTTAGTGCGACATGTGGCCTAACAATATTCTTCGTTAGACAAATTAGGTTACTCCGAGCACGGGCGAGACGCATTGTCTTGAATGCGAAATCAATAGCGACGATACTGGAACTCTTTTTCAATGACGCCATAGTAATCTGGAAAATATCTTTTAGGCGAACACGTCATGGGTTCTTTTTTCAAGCACACCGCTCGTGATAAACGAAAAGAAACCTATTCCCGAAGCGCACGACGAAATATACTCGTTTGTCAGATCTCACGTGGTGAGTAATGTTAAAACCAAAACTTTCTATAATGGCTATATTCCTTTACTTTTCCGACTAGGCGGGGTCTTCAATGTACAGGTAGTACTAAATATAGTTGTGTTTTCCATAATGTAGCTGCGCAAGAATCAAGTTTGCTGTCATCTTTCAGGCAGCAATGCCACATTGAAGTGTTCTATCATGCAGTTCTATATTTTGTTATTGTAAATGGATGCGTTCTAACCAAGATATTGTAGGAGCCATAGGAGCCAAGGTTGGCTCTGAAACCTAGGATTGCGTAAACGTCTCAGAATCAGGCTATGCTTACGTTACTTTATATTGTACGTTAATTGTGTCTGTTGGTTTGAGTGGGGGTGGGGGGAGGGGAGCTGGCGGTTTCGGTTTCGCCTTGTGTGGGAACGGTGATGGTAGCAGGTTCGAATTGACTCTGCCTGCTGGGGGCGGGTGTGCGCAAGATAAGTATATGACCAGAAATCCGTAACTACTGTTTGCTTTGGTAATATTCTTTTGCCTTTCGAAGTTTTTGGCTGGAACGGTAGATGGCATTGTATGTCACGCCAATGTATATTAGGAATCGTTTCTTTGGACGAAAGCCCAGCTGGTTCACCTGAAAAGATGAAAATCGCAAGGTTTTCATCTATAAGTGGGGTATCCAGATACAATCGCTGTAAGGCAGCATTATAAAATGCGGTGAAAGTTCCCAGTTACGGTTGGTATCTTTACAAAAGCTGTAAGCAGTAATTTACTAAACTTGTCGCATTTGATACGCCTTAGATGAAAAATACAAACCTTTTTGCACACCCTCCTTTATCTCAATTCTTTAACTTGATCGTAATTCTGTTTGGATTTCAGGCGAGCCCATATCCATTCCAAACGATATCTATGACTATTACAACATTACGATAGTAGCACGGTCATTCGTCAGAGAACAGGTTGGATTATTCATGTAAACAACTTTTTGCTTTTGATCGGTGAGTGAATCATGTGGAAGATGTTTTTAGCGTGGGATGGGTCATGCCTTATGCATCTTGCCAGGTAACTGAAAAGTTTGCGATATCACGAAAAAAATTCCTGGTTGCACACTTACTGAGGGCATTCATTATCCAGCTAAAACAGAAATATAATAAATAATGATATCCCAACAAGTGAGGTCACGATCAGCTCACATATTGAGTAAAATTTACCCATTTCTTCAGCCTTTCAAAGTTCGCTTCGCTAATCGTCAAGCGAGTGCTCTCCGTTGTTCTTGCTCTTGGACTATAGGTTTCTCGCTAGTTGAGCAGTGACGAAGGCATTCATCCCCTATGGTTATACAAAGCGTTTCATTGTTAAATGGGAGTTGATGTTAAAGGCGTGATTTTCAACGTTGAGACGTGCCGCAGCGTTTCCAATCTGAGCACAAATATAAGCTGTAGGGAGAGTGCATTTAATTTGCTGAAGTCTGGGAACGATGGGCACCGCCAACCCAGGGCACAGATTATATGTGCGCTTCTCTATGTTTGAATCAGGGTGCAAAGTTCGGCTCATGTAGAAATGGTTAATAATTCCGAACCAAAAACTTGAGAGCAAGACCGAGATCGTTTCGATGAATCAACAGAACAAGCATGGTCCATGACAGGGCTTCATTAAAAACCATTCTGAGGTTTCCTGCCCTCATATTCGAATTTGGCATGGAAGCCATGTTCTCCTTGCATCCGAATGATTATTTTATACCTCTCGCAAGTGACGTTATAGAGTTGCATTGATTACCCTCGGAAGTTGTTGATGATCCCATAACCGCTACGAACGATGTGGGCGAGCAAGGGCTGTTTCCGGTGACTGGTCCTTATGAGCGTGGACTATTTTTCAGCGATGAGGTCGCCACCAGCCTAAAGTAGTTACCATTGTAATATGTGTACGTTTCAGATCCGTCGCATGATGTCATGCATAGTTTTCCATGGCTACGATCGTCTACCTTTGGAGACAATCCGTTGGCTTCTAAAGAATCCGATCAGCACGAATTTCTACGACCTTCGCATACGGATTGCGCCACCACAGGGATTGTTCCTCACAGATGTGGTGTATCCTCCAGAAATGTTTACTAATCCGTTTCCCTGCTATCGACATGCATGGGATCGTCCACAGGAGGTCCTCGAGGAAAAAGAGGACGAACTGCTTCTTGATGATGATTGTTGACAAAAAATGTTTATGTTCATGATCTTGTTATGTTGTTAGTAGTTATACTTGAATTGAACGATTGTTTTGCTCTTTTTCGGTCGTGTTTGACATTAAGCAAAGAAGACTCGGCTTGGCATTTGTTTTTGAAGCTCAGGAATGGATTCCGAGAGGCTGCTGTTTTGAGATATGTCTCCTATTTAATATCAGGTTGTGCGAAAATTATCTGCCGAAAATCTCACAAAAGTATAGATTTTATGAGATTTTCTGAAGGTTTGCATAGAACTGTTGTAAAGGGACCTACCCAGTTGGGTGCTCATAATGTTCTAGGAGATTTCATGGTATCGCCATCGAGTGATCAGATCGAGGTTCATCTTCTACTTTTTTTGTTCAATTCTGTGGAGCTCTGAGTCGACTCGTGCACAGAACCGCTTGGTAGGGGCTTCAAGGCTGTGCCTGACCGTGGTTTTACTGTGTTTAAACAGCGGAGCGGTCCGATTTGAACTCTTAGAGACGTAGGTGTCGAATGTAGGAAAACAGGTATGCATGGGTAGTTTCATTGAAAAGAAAGCCCATGGAAGATTCCAGGAGCTTCCAGAAGTTCCTGGAAGAAATCTGGACTTTTACGAAAATGTCTGCAGATACATTCCGCACATTCTGCCTGACCTGGAAAGACTTCACGAGTAGTAGCCAAAGTCAGAGTGAGTCGTCCAGATGCGCCGTGCACAAGACACAGGAACAAAAATTCAGTGCGGAGACTAGGTAGATGTTTAGCCAAGGAGCTATCTTGCAACAGGACCATCTGCACGAGTCAGGACCCACAGTTGGATTACTGTATCAACAGAATCCCCATGCTGAACATCCCTTTTCTATCGAATCGGGATTGCAAATATGTTCAGATCAGTAGACTGGATCATCAGTAGTCCGGTGGAACCAAACCGTCCCACGGAGGAGCGCCTGACCAGGGTGATGTGATGGAGGGTAGCCGTCTTTGCGAACCTGTAATGGTGCTTAGGAACGTAAATTAGTCTGGGAAATATGATTTTTTTCAACTAGGCCTTAGAAGGGAAGGGGCGCCGGGTGGGTGAAATGACCAACTCGTGCTGAAGCCTGTGATCAGGGAAGGCTTGCTGTTAACCAAGGATTCATTCCTTTTCGTAAATATTAGCTGTAGCGTGCTAGCAAACTCTTACTGCTCAGGGAGCACCGTTACGAGCTCGCAAAGATGGCTACCGCTCCTTCTTCACTTTATAAAGCCTAACATCGGAGGAGCGATGTCTCCCTAACTACATTTTCACCTGCCCCACTAAGCCTATTTGGTAGGATCAGTGATCCAACGATTCAAATCCCCAATAGTGTTTACATCAAACAGTTTTTGGATTACTGTAGTTGTTTTAGTCTGTGATAATTGACGGTCTATTGCGTACGACTGTTGTTGCCGTTCCATCGTTGACAGGTGCGCTTCGTCGAGGTCTTTTGCGTGTGGAGGGACGTTCTCTGTTATTTATTGTGATTACATCTTTCGAACTTCGACTTTTCTAATCTTATGAGCTAAACATCGCATTTGCAGTTTCCCGTGGTCGTAAATTATAAAGTTTCTTTCTACCGCAAAGTTTATCGAATCTGTTTTAGAAAAATCTTCATGACGCATAGTGAGTGATGTTGGACATTAATAATGGTTTTTAGGTTCCTACTCATCTTCTCTTTATTGATTCCTTCCGTTGAGTTTTGTTCTCATTAAGCGACTTGGGGAAAACCCAACGAACGACGTTCGCGCGGCTGTCATTTTGCTTTACACAGTAACTATTACAGTTTTTGCAGGTTGTTGTTAGAAAGGAATGGAGTCTCGGTAGAAGCCGAGGAACTCAGCAAATCTGCTGATATTGAGGGCAGTTGGCTTTCTTGGCCAATTAATGTAAAGCGTTATGATTGTCAGGAGCCTTGCAAGTGCAGTGCAATCCTCTCTAATCGGATCGGCCTTCTTGAGCGGTTTCTTGTACATCAGACTGGCCCATTTATTCTTTCGGAATGAGTGAATCATAAGAGTTCATATGTGAAGCAGATCTCAAACAAGGAGCAGCTGAAACTTTTTACGAAACACATGAGCCATTTAGTTTATTTATTTATTTATTTATTATACAGCCAGGGGTGAACCATCGGCACCGGGAAGTTTACTTCATTTTCGAACCTTTTCCGGTGACCAAACGAAGTTGAAAGGAGCTGTTCCTGCATCTTTTTCTGTTCCACTTTTTCTGAAACTTTCCAATGTATTTGGGGGAGCAAAAAGCTGCGTGAAGTTCTGAAGTATAGCAGTAGCGATGCTACAAGTAACCCGAGTGCTGTTCATTTCTTCGCCATGATTTTGTTACGGTTGCTAATTGGAATTAAACTGCTAGACTCAGCTGATTGTGAGCTACCTACAATCATCCACCAATCAGTTAAAATGCCATCAAGCTCTTCGTACCAAACCTGGTTCGTGGATAACCTTTTTTCACCAAATGCTTTATGAGGCTTGAAAAGTACAGGTAGATAATGGGCAGGTATTCGTCGGGCATTGTGAATGGCCTATATCTGAAAATGCAAAACAGAGTTATTCATGGATATAGAAATGATCATTTCGTAGTCCATGTAGAAATCAAGTGAATACCTAGATGGTCATCTGTTGCTTTAACCAGACATAAAGCCAGATTTTTGAAGAGAAAGAGGTTTCGTTCACCTTTCCCTATCACTGTGTGTTCCATCCAGAGAAAATGTTAGCGGGAATGTTGACTCAGTTCCCATGGGAAGGTTTCCATCCATAAAGCGAATGATTCTATAATTTCTTGTTTTAATTTGTTACTTGTTTTACACTGCTGATGTAGAGCTGATTTGTCCATATTTTCAAAAGGCCGTACAAACGTCTTTTGGTTGGCTAAAGGTGGGCTTTATACAGTGGATGTTGTAGATGGTCTATAAGGAATAAATCGCTAACATTTGACGGTTAACTCTTAACGCTTAACTATATCTCGGCCTTGCAAAGCCGGCCTGTTGATTTCTTCGGCTGTGCTTTTGCTCAGCAGTTGATCGATTAATCAACAAGTGGTCTCTGAGTTTCTTTTCACGACGGCTTTTCACTGCATAATTAAGAACACCATGTACTACAGCGGCTCCTGTTTTTTCCCATTAGTTAGTCATCCATACTTCTTGGAGGCTTCCATGGAAAAAAAAAACTTTAGTCAACTTTCAATTCGTCGTCTTTTGGAAGGTGAATCTGGAACTTGAATTCGAATGGAGTCAAGTTAGCAAAATGCTTATAAATTCTGAACCTATGATTCTCTTATTTCAATAATGCCATCAATATTGATCTGAGCATAATCATATTCTTCTTTCACTTTTTTATTCTGAGATGTTATTGATTTTTACGGTGCTGAAAAGCATCATCTAGTGGCTCTCGGCCCAGGCCATATACCTTCGGCCGTTGTGTGATGACATTAATTCATGGGTCCGATATACCTTTGGGAATTGCCCGAAGGACGTTGGCTGTTTTGCTCGAAAATTGACTGCGTGGTTTCGAATGGCTGCCGGTTTTTCGCCAGCCATCGCGTGTGGGTGTTCATTGTTTCATTGTTACCTCCATAAAGTCAGACTCGTTAGGGACCCGTTTGATATTTTTTCTGTTCAGATCATTGTCTATGTCAGCCTCTTTTACAAACTGTGTTGACTTCTAATTAATCATACAGATGTTAAAACTAAAGTCAAATTTGTCTCCTGATACCAATTTATTCAATTGTTTTCCCCATTAGGGGTGAATAGGCAGGTATGAATGCGTTCGTGACTCATTACCCTTTTTCCCAGCTAGCTCCTTTCTGAATCTGCCTCGCGTCATGGTGATCCGTCAGTTACATGATCAAAACGGGCTGCTTCATCAGTTCCGGTCTTGAACACGACATTCTTGCCAAATTAGTCACTATAACCTTGGAGGTATAATGCCCCTAAAATTATTTGATTATCATTCAGTTGAGCAATTAAATTTTGAAAGGCAATTTGATGTTACTATCGTCGAGAGGGAAAGTTTCTCATGTAATACCATTATTTATTCCAGACATAATAAATTAGCCGTGTTTATTAGGCTTATTTACCCTTAACAGCTTTTTGATTCAATTTGAAGATTCCTTTTTCCACTGGAGCCTAACTTATAGGAACAATTGATGACCTCGTTCTTCTCTATGGCAGTTCTTTTTAACATCAATATATTTTGATTGCAGGTAAGCGCCGAATTCGTTTCCAGCAATTCAATAATTGTCAATGATTTCCGTCTGAGAAGTGTGCCACGTGATTAGTGTGGCTATGAGCAAAAGTGCCCACGATATTTGTGATGAAGGCATTGCATTATCCCCACTTCCGGCGTCCGTACTAATCGTGAATATAGCTAATCATCGTTTCAGCGACTATGATTTCTAATCGAATGGGGTTATGAGTGCTTGGGTAGTAGCTTCAATAAGGTATCAATATCCAGTAAAGATTAGCAATAATAGAGCGTTAGGTTTTTTCGAATCGCTATTGGACTATAAATTTTCCTTGAAAGCGGCACATTAAGCAAGCAGTTCTTCATTTTCGCTCCTCTCAGCGCCACCCACCCGTGTATTTGCTTTTGAATACATGATTTGTTACTTCTTGGACCTTACGTTCCATCCCCTTTTCCGCGTTTTGATTCCATTATGTTTATGAATGGGAAAGAGGCAATGCTATAGTAAAGTAACATCAGATCCCTCCGCCGTTTCATTTCCTTTGTCATAGTAACGTGAGAATCTGGTTTACCCTGAGTGATTTCAAATTTCTTCCAATTTTATAGAGTCATTGTCATATTTCCCTGGAATTCCCCATCTGGACACGTAGGTTGTGCTAATTTTCCAAAAGTCTTTCACACTTCACATTTGTTTTGACCTTTGACTGAACAGCTGCTCATATGGACCCATTTCGGATGGGTAACCTTTCCAGTCTTTTGTGGTTTATTTTGCACAAGCGAGTTCTAAGGTTCAATTACCTTTTTTCATGTCTCCGGTCCTCACCACATCAATCATACAGGTGTGCTACGAGGTGCGCTTAGCTGGTTCACAGCTGGAGAATGGTTTTTCGCGGGGGTGCAACCTATTGAGTTGTCCCGAAGACGTGCATGCTAATGTGTGGCGATGCTCATAGCAGATGGATTAGGCATGCATAAATTGAAGCGTCTGAAACGAACGTGGGTGCACATAACCTGCATAAACAGATGGCGGCAGGAATTCTGGAATCCCTCATTTCCGATCCGATCTCTCAACCAATATGAATACAAAAGGGCGGTGATAAAAAACTGTGGACGTCACAGCGTGCCTCACGTTTCAGAGCGCATTTCACGTCACAGACCAGATGTGTAACTGTAACCAACAACTTCTTTTTATTTGGGTTCTTTTTGTGACAGTTTTTTTTTGTTTTGAAAAAGAGGCGTTCCTACTAGTTCGCGCAGGTAATACGAACTGTTAAATTAGTTTTTGTCTTGACTTTCAATAGGATAATCTGTGCTTTATTGATAGTAACTGTCGTATTTGCATTGATCCCGTAATGTTCTTTAGACTTCATCCTCTTTGCTGACGCATATAATTTTCTGATAAGGCAGTTAGTCATCCAATAGTGAACCAATATTCTGCATCAGGTCGCAGTATAGTGCCCAGTGCGTAATAGGCGCTTTCCAGCCCAGCACCCATGATTTCTCAGATTTCCAGTTCTCACAGTTTCCCCATGTCGATCGATGCATACCACTTTTTCAAGCGCTTAACAACCGGGCTGACCCAACTTGCTTCCTGCAAACTCCTTACTTGACCCGGTTGCAGCACTCCATCGCTGACATGAAGTTTGTTCTGGGCATAATGATTTATTATGATTGAATGCGATAATCAAAATGATTATTTGCACACCATGCCGTTTGCCAAGAATCTATTTCCGGCTCTGGCCAATATATTGAATAAACTGTGTTTTATCGAACGCGATTGCGGCGTGCGTCACTTCATGTTATCTCGACACTCACATTTTTTGCGCCGTCCCCTAACAACGATGACTTGTCGCCGTTTCATGTGCTACGACGATCTGTGTTTCTATAGCATTTCACTTGATTTCACACCTTTTTCATTCTATTTTTGGGCCACTCTTATCAGTTGTGCGACCCATGGATCTAATTTCCCCATATGGTACTTACTCAGTGGGGTAAGGGAATATAGTGGAGAGGGGCTCGTGATTTTATTTATGTTGTGTCTATTGAAGGGTCTTTTGAGTTTGCCTTATTTCTTATGTCTGAATAGGGGAATGAATTTGCTGATTTGGGCGCCCGCACATTGTTGTGCAGGCGAAAATGCGTCGAATGTTTTGAGTTAAAGGCGCATAATACAGCTTGATCAACTCCCATCTCTTCGCCGTTGTTATATAATGTGGAATATCTGACAAAGGGTCGGATTGATCGAAAACTTGAAGTTTTTGTCTTTGTGAGAGTTCTTGAAGAGCTTGGGCGTTGTTTATCTACTATATTAAAGCTTGATGGTAAAATTGGGGTCGAATTGCTTGAGTGGTTTGCGAACATATTGACATAGCATAAGCTATTGAGTTTTCCCTAAATTTTATTTCGTACCAGGGCTAACCCTTGCAGAATTCTCAGAGTGCATGTCTCTCTTTTTACACTCGGGTATCTAATCGATTCATTGGAGTTTTTCAGAACAGCCTGATGGGGACCGTGAGAATTAATGTGTTTTGATGTTTTCTTCAGATCCCCCGTTTCTTAAAAGGCGTGGGGGGGGAGGGGGGTTCAAAGTTTCTAATATGAGAAGGCGGCTTATTGTGTAACCAAGCCACTTCCGCAAAGAGTAATAATTGGAAAAACATGGCGACTGAAGCGGAGGTGGTAAGGAGGAGCATTGAAGTGGGTATTTGATGAGATTATGGTTTTAATAGCAGGCTTCCATGACAGCTAGAAAATTCTAGTTGATGGTGTCTAATATTGACCTCTACATGGCACTATTGCAGTAGTTTCTCACTGAAGTCTTTAAAATGTAGTGGGAAGGTGAAGAGTCCAAAGATACGGTTGAACCTCCACCAGGGTTTGCTAACATTCCAAACTTCTAAATGAGAGTGAGGCTTGCAATATAATCCCAAGGATAACGCCTTTGCACCCCTATAAAATCAATTTAATTATTTCTCGATTTCGAAACAGCTAGTCAGAAGGGAAAGTAACGATGGCGTCGATTTCACAATTCTCGAGGCTGTATTCTATGAATACGGGATCGCAGGAATCTATTCCGCCACGCGAATTGTCGAATTTGCTGAATTACTCGGTCTAAAGGGAGTCGCATTCATCTAGGAACCACTGAAGATATAGCGGTCATTAATAGTAACGACCTTTTCCCGGGAATCTCATCAGTTTCATTCCTTTTTCAAATGTTTGCGTGTGTTCATAATGATGTTCTCTCATCATATTTGTTGTTGTGAAACGGCAATGCTTTTACATCGAGCGCCAGTATCGGCTGTAAAATAAATTCTATGTTATGGTTCGTTATGTGGTCGATCATGTCTGAGAAGGCTTATCTTTTTTCGTGACGTGAATACTTCTTAACGAGATGGTGTATGTCCTTACAATCCTCTTTTAGTGCTGCTCGAGCATTGTGTTTCTCGCGCTCATCGCCACGGATTTCACACTGGATTATTGTCGGATCTGTCGCTAAAAGCGAAGGTATTTGAGCTTTTTTCCTATTTCGACCTCTAGGTTCATTTTTTTTTCAATCACTGGCTTCTCATTTACAATGCTATTTGTTTTGGATCTTGTGTTTATCTCCCAATTCTCTTAAACCTTGTGTTTTTCATTTCACTTTTGTTTAGGATGTGTAAGCGGCTTGGCCAGTTGCTTCCGTCAGCGATAGCCTGGTCGTTGATCGTTATTTGTACGCTTTGTTTTTACTACTTTCTTGCACCTGCCGTTGCAGTACGATGGGGCTGGTGAGTGAGATGTTAGATTTTTCAGAGGAGTCTAATTGCCAAAAAAGAATAATACGGAATATCTGTACACGATCGAGCTTTGTTTGATATCTTGTTAGACATTCCCCTATATACTTGAAAAAGATCTAAACACTTAGAAGTGCCTGTTTGCCACTTAATGAATATGCTAGAGCTTCAGCAATAGAGCAATAGAAGTTAAGACATTTTTCTTTGAGTTTCAGCTGGATTTTTGCCATTTCGTAAGCGCCATTTCATTTGCTTGATTTCTCGAGTGAGCATAGAATTGTTTTGCCGTTGATCAATTTTGTTTCCGGGATACGTCCAAATATTTTATTTTTATCGCAGTTGTAATGTTGCTCGAACGCACATGTAGCCCATATAATGACATAGGGAGGCAGTCTTCTTTCCTTCTGATTTGACCATTGACCTATTGTGATTATTATTACTATTATTATTATTATTATTACTATTATTATTATTATTATTATTATTATTATTATTATTATTACCGGTATTATTATAATTGTCACGACCAAAAAATCGTTGATGGTTTGCCGAAAAATAAATACTGCTCTTCCAGTTCCTCAGACTTTCAAAATCCCTAAAGTGGGAGCAGTTCCACATTTGGAAGACAGGTGCATCCACTTCAGATAGCTCATTTTAGAAAAGAAAAAAGTTTTATAGGGAAGTGAGAACACCTTCGTAATCTGCAGAGAAAGTAATCCATCATCAGACCCTAGTTTATTTCATTCATTCGTAAAAGAGCGACCAAAACGGTAAAGACCGAGAGGATAGCATCATGAGTCTCTCACTATGCGGCTATTGTCATACTGCCATCTAGTGGTAATTTCAGGGATAGTGGCAACCAGTTTTGTTATAATTTGCAAACGATTCCTTTTTCTTCTTTCGGTTCCCATTATGTTTCATCGTATTTGCATCCTAGATTCTACAAGAAATTAGAGCTTGAACCTTTCATATTTTCCAACCATTCTAGTAGGTTTTGGGTGGCTTTGGTATGACTCTCTACTAACGTTGTCTTTGTAAACTGGCGTCTGGGACCGAGTTCTCGCATCTCAGACGCCAGATTACAAGCTGCTCAATCTCGTATTGAGGTATAAATGCAATTTATGAGTTTTTTTTTCTGTAATTGTGACTTGTGTAGGTATGGATGGTCCTTGTGCGGTGTCGATCTCATCATTTTCCTTATGGTGATCTCGAATCTAGTTATGGCGATGTGCATGGATCCGGGCATTCATCCTTACGGTAAACCAACTTGAGATGGAATAATTCTGGAAAACTTGTGAGTAATTCATCTTTCCAGGGTATGCTACTGAGGAAATGACAACCGACGACTTTCGATCACCGCTGTATAAGAACGTTGAAATAAACGGTATAACGGTACGCATGAAGTGGTGCGTGACGTGTCAGTTCTATCGACCACCCAGGTCGAGTCATTGCTCCGTATGTAATCGGTAGGTTGGGTTTTTGTCAGAAGTTATGTCCTCTATTCTGTGCAATATTGGCCGACAAGAAATTTATGGTTTCTAGATGCATTGATACATTCGATCATCATTGTCCGTGGGTTCATAATTGTGTGGGAAGGAGAAATTACAGGTAATATCACTTTCTAGTATTGTTGTGTGATAATTATGGTACCGAAAGCTAGAAAGATACTTTCCAGATACTTCTTTTTCTTCTTGTGTTTTCTTAGTCTTCACATGTTATATGTTGCCTCGGTATGTCTTGGATATACACTTGCGCATAGGTATGCCTATCGTATTTTTTTATTTACATATTCTGTATTGTTTATTGTATTTGTATATTTTTTATTTTTCTTTTTTATTCTCATGAGCTAGCTGTACAGCCGCCTCGTGATTATTGCCAAGCCGTCCTTGAAAGTTTCTTGACTCGTGCTGAATAATCGTGTTTGCTACGCTAGATCACTCGTACATAACTGTGGAAAGTCACTGTGGAATTTTCAAAAGCCAACAATAATGAGTCCCCTCATCTAGGCCTGAGCCGCGACAAAAACTACGCTTAAGTCTAGAAAAGTGTCAAAAATGGTCACTATCAATCTCGCTCTTCTTAAAAATACTTTGTTTCATTTTTTTCCACTGGTCAAGTTCCTCAACGGGATTATTTATGATGCGATTAGGCCCTACTGGATCGCTACTCACCAATGTATCTGCTAAACACTCCACTTTTACTAATTTCATTTTATAGCTAGAAAGTTTTATGAGTACAACACTTGAAAACTCTTCTAACAGCTCGTTCAGTTATGCTTGAAGAACTATAATATCACAACTAATGTGGCCGTTTCCACTTCTGACTTCTTTAGACATTCTTTAATAAATTTTTACTGCTGGCCCAATTTGGTAGGTTTAATTGCGCCGTAGTACCGCTGGGTAATTTGCAACAAGTGAAAATAGTCAACTAGAAGCCTTTTCTATTTCTCCTCTCTTTTTCATAGCTTTGATAATTTCAGAGAGGATATTCTGAGCAGACCTAATTTATGCTCAATCGTTCTACTGGCGTTATGTGCTATATTGGCAGTACCTGTAGTAGGTCTTACAGTTTTCCACATTGTTCTCGTTTCTCGTGGGCGAACTACGAATGAACAAGTAGGTTATTCGAGTTTTCGGGTTTTCTGGTTTCCCAAGAATTGTGATCTTCGTTTCCCATCCTAGGTGACTGGAAAGTTCCAATCCGGGTACAATCCGTTCACGATTGGGTGCATTGGAAATATTCGTCGAACTTTATGCGGTAGTCAGTTTCCATCGTGAGTGCTGCTGCAACGTTATGTATTTTCTTTTGATTTTTTTTTTTGCTTCTTTCGTATTCTCTCTTTGCATCTAACTTATAAAATGACTTCATTTCTTGCTTGATGGATTCCAGTTGATTGACGATTATTAAGATTCACGAAATATGAAGAGACGGCTGTGAAACGAACCCGAAAAAATCGCTCAGCTGTAGAAGACGTAATGGTCAATGGTGCTATAAAACGAGGGGTAAGTTATTGATCTCTTTTCGGCTATTTAGGAACCTGTTCTTACCTGCAGTCTTACCTTTTATCGAGTTTCAATGGTCTTGATTATTGAAGGATGCGGACGAAGTTGATGAAACAACTGTGTTATACGTTCCAGATAAAGACGGAGTAAAGGACGGTCACATTCGAGTAAATATTATTTTTATCTGTTTCGTGATGTTTACTGCAATATTTGAACTTGATTTCAGTTAAAACAGCTACGACTAGCTGACAGCCAATCAGTTGGAACGTCACTGTCGTTGACGGGAGCAGATCCGCCATCTCACAGAGATCGTGACGGTTCCACGTGCAATCTCTTTGATTCTGCGCAAGGTATGTCGTAAATCTCAGCCTCAGTAGTACAGCTTAGTTTTACTTCTTTATTTTTATAATATTAGCGACAGGTGGTTGATCCATCGATTTATTGCTATTTGATGGGTTTATGCGACAACGATAGATCAGATTTTCTGCTTTTCTGACCAGATTTTAAGGCTGCATCTGCATTTTTGAACTGTTCTTCAAAGTGACGGTTGGATTTTTTGACGCGATAATTCCCTTTGGAAAGCTCCTGTCTGTACAATTTTGGTTTCAATTTCGACTCCCAACATGCTTGGCGTACTTGTTGTCAGTACAAGAATCCTTATGGTAGCACAAAAGCTCTTCAGTTGGTTCCATAGGTCTCTACTTTTGACTCGTTCGGCTTTCAACAGCATTTGTAGCTGCCGTTGTTTGCAGTAGGAATCATCGCAAAACCTTAGAATGTGTGGTTTTGCAGAAGCTGAAATAACTTCCAAAGGAAATATATGTACTGACTTGAAATCTGAATTTTTCTAATTCTTTTTTGCTTCATACGTTGTTACATCGTCCTCTCTTTCTCCCGTTTTTCCTGCTCCCTTGCTCATGACGAAATCCTCTGAGTAGTAGGTTTTGTGCGCTTGATGAATTCCTATCATAAGAGCATCTTTGCTTTTCAGCGCTTGTCCAGGATTTTAATGTTTCTCTCTGGAAATTTTAGTGTACAAAAAACACAAATAAGAAAAACCTCATCATCCAAACTCCACATGAATTAATGCTATTTTTTTTTGTCATCATCATTGATTCGTTATAGATAGTCCGAAGATGAACAGCCCAATATCATCGCCAGTGTCGGACGCCTATCAGGCTAGTTTTGAGGAAGCTACTCGTGATGCGATAACTACTAATAAAGGCGGGTCTTTTATTGATTCCATAACTTATTCATCTTATGCTAAAACAATAACGACAGATAGTAGCGTTGGATGATTTTCTATGGGGCCATGTTTAATTTGTGACATGTACACCTCCAGTTTCAATGAGACCACTAACTCGTTTCTTTATCAAAGGAACATCAGGATTCTACGTAGAAGTTGCAATAATTTAGATAATTAGGCAATTATTAAACCCATTGACGACCGTCACGCCATATCCTGCTCCTGTAGTATTTATATTACTTGTCGAGTGTTCTTATATTTTTTTCATGTTTTCAAGTATCAGCTGAGCTCATAGCCTTCTGAAGAATCTTGAGGCATTGTGGTCGAGGAATCATTCACTTCCAACTACAGTTATAGGAGAAATTAAAAGTTAATGTAAGGACAATGTAAAAGGCGCGGTCGCATACGGGTTAATCCACTATTCTTTATTCTTACTATTTTTCCATGAATCTTGACGCGTCCCATTTCCCAGTTGTTCGTTGCTATCTTTTTTCAGTTGTGATTTTTGTTCTTTTAGAATTTTAAGTCTCAAGTTTTACTTATTCACAAGTTTACATTTTCTATTTGCCCACCATTTCATACACTTTCCATTCAAGTTAACATATAGGAAGAGAGATACGTGAACGATTTGTAAAAGATGCATTGCAGTTTTTTCTGCGGAGCTCTATAATAAGCTTTTTTTCAGCTGAGCAAAAGCTTTTTCAGCTGCATTATGTGTCACCGCCATTTGAGCTTTTATTTATCCTAGATGGAATCTGTCTGGTGATGAAATCTGACAAAAACGTGCTCAAAGATTTTTTTGCTACGAAAACTTGCTTTTTTCAGAAAGGAGGAAGGGGCTCCGATTGCGCTATGGCAATACCATTGTGAACTCTAGATAAAATAACTCATAAGTTCACGTTCTAGGCATTACCCTACACCTATCTACCTCTTTGATTCGCATCAATGAAATGACTCCGCGTGTAAATACATACTTTCTGCAATCCATTTTCTTTCTGAAACTTGTTTTTTGTTTTGAAAAGATGTTATGATGTTGGCAGTGATAAGAGTGTTTCCAGATGTCGCCACTGCCGCTTCACAGGTTCTCAACGGAGATCGCTCTCGTCCTCGTGGTTTCGCTGACGCGGTTCGAATTCACGATCAGCTTAGCTCACCAGCCAAGTCGGTAGCGTTGTAGTAAATGAGGCAGTTAGGAAGTTTTGCGCGGCGCTTCAGCACCGCCTCGTATGGTCCGATCCGACGTCTTCTTGTTCGTCAAACGGGCCGATCGATTCGTCGCGTGATAAAACGTCACAGTTGGACGTAGTGTTTTCTGGTCGGGTACCTAGTGTGCTGCCTCTCATTTTGTCTCGTACTTCTCAAGTCTCAGTCTGTGAACGTATCGCCTGGGATTCATGGATATTTGTCTGTATGCTAAGCGTTTTTGAGCGCTTTTTCCGGAGCTAAGCATGGATATATGTTTCATACCTGTAGCGAGCTCTTCCGCCCCCCATTGATGATGAATCGAACGAGTCGAACTTTGGTATGTCTATTTGCTGGTTATAATTTTATGATATTGAGTGTTGCGCTCTTTCTGTGCCAGTTTGCAATTCAAAACTAACCTCTATCGCCTCCTGTATTATTCTATCCACTCTTCCATAATTTCTATTCTTGTTGTGGTGTATAGGATCCCCATATACATATTTTCCATTAAATTCTAGTATGGTCATGTATTTCCCCTGGCGTCGCCATAGCCGATCACACATTGTTAGAAGCGCTTCCATCTTCACTCGACGAGTTTGCAACTTAGCTTGTGGGGGCTGTAGCGCTTAGTAGGCGGAGACGAGCTCAGTTGCATATTTGCCTGGTGTAGATATAACCGTGAGCAAGGTACATAAATGCCTTTCCTCCTCTTTTTCTCTCTCAGACGCATAGATTATTTCATCCTATGGCCCATTGCCCACTCTCGCATAAGCTGAACCTACATAGGCTATGGTCCATAGACATCTCTCACTACTTTGTCATCCTTTAATGTGCACTTACTGGTATTTGTTTGATGTGTTTCTACTTCTTTTCTGCATGTGATGACGTATTTATGTATATACAGCTCATGCCAAATAGCTAAATATGTCCGAGTCGTCCTGCCTCAGAGGCCTACGGTCGCATTGTGGCTCGAACGAGCTCACCGTGGGCAAGCTCAGACACGGCCATCTGGGTTGCATGGGTTGTACTTGCTGTAGAGTCAAGCTCATCATCATCACCATTGATCGGATTGTTCAGAACCTACCATTAACATTATTGTTCCATCAGATCGTTGAATTTTGCATCGAATGTTGCTGAGAATTTCTAAGGTTGTTTCAGTTGTTACAGAAGGCATATTGTGATAAATTGTTATCTATTCAAAAATTCGTCTTCGTCAAAGAATATATTGTTAATGCCTTTAGTAATCATATTTACAGTGAACATCCAAATTTCGTGTTAACAAGTTGCAGACGCTAGCGGTAGCGCTGCGTTTTATCGATTGGAAGGTGCAGGCCACAAATTTTGTATAGGAAATTGTTAGGATGTACGTGTTTGGCTGTTTGAGAGAAATTAAGTGTGTCATGAATGACGGATAACCCAGTCGCACTCCCTCACACCCTGTTCCATTCGACCCCAACAGCTGCGTACACCACTTCGTTCCGATGGGGGGAGGGCGCGCTATGACGGAATCACCTGGGGAAGTTTCAGAGCTGAAGATCGGAGCTGGTGGGGAGGGCATGGCAGATCGATTTTTAAAATTCAACAGAGAATGATAAGGCATTGCGAAATTGGTGGCGAGTTTACAACAGATTTTAAGTAGATGATGGTGTGGGACTACATTCACGATGGAGCTGGGTAGCAGAGTGAGGGGCAATCTCAATGTCCTCCTTGGGACCCTTCCTTCAGTGGGCAAACTGGCAGAGACGTGGTACTGCCCGAACGACGTGATTCAATCGTGGCAGCTGTACTATTAGATTAGTTGCCATGGATTCTTTTGACGGAAATTTTCACCAGTCGGACGTATCACATCCATGTATGAGTTGTAAAGGAGTGGGAGCTGTTTTTATTGTGATTTTATTTTATATGGGCATATATAAATGCTTGCAAGGTTTGTCTTTGATGCGTTCTGTTGAATGTTTGGCTCATTAATGATTTATGGCGGCCTTGCAGAAGGTCGTTACCGAGCATTCTCGAAACATGCAAGTTCCTATGTGACTTTATAAAGTTTGAGCTGAAATTTGAAGGAAATGGTTGCGGTTTTGTTGTTTCAACCATCCTTCTTGTTTACAGCTGGCTACTAATCTCTAAGCATTAGTTCTATTACAATACAATTAATACATTGATACCCGAAAAGAAACTTGTAATACGAAGCGTTGTTAAATATCCTGTAATTAGGATGTTTTATAATAAGGGATGGATATAAACGTGCCCCGTGGTAAATTTCAGATGTTGTTACTCGTCCAAAAGCTTCCTAAATGACCGCTTTGACATTCATTTGCTAAACAATCTTTTGTGGATCGACCGAGAATTAAGTAATTTGTTTACTGTTATGTGAACAGGATGTATTTGTTCAAACTTGTGAAACGGATTAGATGATACCGTATTTCTATGAGAGGTAAATCCATTTGAAAACAGCGGCCGCATTAGTTTGAAGCTATTTTATGCTGTTTAATGTGTTATGGCTCTTTACTTGCTAGCAAAGTTTTGATCCTTCATCACTCTACTGTGTGCATTAGCCCAAACAGGCGATTAAAGCAATGAGCTGCTGTTTTGTCGAATGTTGTAAATGTCGTGGACGAGTTGCACCATGGGTGCACCGATCGATACCCGACGGGTGAGCGTCGCGGTCGGCGGGGATCCCCGTGTGCTGGCGGTTGACGCGTGTGTGTGGACGTTCAGCGCTTCTGTGGCTTCTTCTTTCGCGGAGGGTTGATCTTCTGGATAGCATCCACATCCATCTATCTACAAGCTGTGAGAAGCCTCCTATCGCCACTCTCATACGCGATTTAATCGCGAGAAAACAGCCAATTGTTTTTCAATAAGCTCTCTCTCACAGTTCAGTTCTCGAAATTATGGTCCGCGTATGCAGAGTGGTGCCAAAAGAGTGAGGAAGTTTTTTTGCGTTTTCTTATTATAATAATATTTTCATTTCAGTTTTTTTAGTATTTTTTTGATTCTTTCCCCATTATATTTGGCGGTCATGGTCGAACGCCATTTCACCGCCTTTCACAAACGCAAATGCGAATCGCATTTGTTGTGTTTCATTCATAGAATCGACTAGTTGCCTTTCTTGATGATGTGTTGATTCTTTTGGGTTTTTTCTAAATCGCATTCACACCCCAGATATGTTTGGTGTTGACTTGTGGCGGTTAGAACTGCTCAGTTTCACCAATAACTACCCACCCAAACACCATCGTTGCGATACCGAACACCGAGAACGCGTTCTATGATGAAAATTGATTTGTAATTGATGTGATCTGTTGATATCATGTTCCGAGCGGCTATTCGGATCTTCTTTAGATGGACGAGATACTCAGCACTCGGCGGGGTGATACCGCATACGAGGTTCATAGTGTTCAAGACGCCTCTGAACGATCGGCTTCTCACAAGAGTCGATCCCTCGCAGAGGTTCACTGTCAGCAATCTCATGTGGATGGTAGGTTTTGCTCAATGTGTTGAAATTTGCTATGGAATAGTAGTGCATGCATGCTGCGAGGTTACTACCACTTTTCCTGGGAGCTAAATTCAGAAATTCAGTATTGAATTAAATTAACAGAGATCAACAGAGGCTTGCAGCAAGTGTGAAACCAGCTACTAGCTTTTCCTTCACGAAACAGGTTTCTAAGCCTTTCTTCGAGCACAGCACCTCTTGCAGATACGGGTTTAATAGGCTCGGGGTACCATGAAATGTGCGTGCATTATCGATGTGGTTATTCTCGTCAACCTCAAAAGAGGAAGTACGGTGAATGCTTCAAGACCAGCATGTTGACATAACGGCACAGCAACTCAAGTTTGCATTGATTTGGATCCCCTTCAGGGTTTGAAAGTTGTGTAACAGAAAGGGAAACAAATTTCTGAGAGTAATCTATCTGCTCGGAAAATTTGAGAGTTCTTGTAGAGTTCCTTTGAATTCCAATGCAGAGCATGAAAATGTTTTGTCATAGTTGCTATGATGAGTCTGCGTTACTCGAAAGATCAGCTAAATAGGTTTCCTTTAGATTGAACTCGCTTGCTCTGGGGTCTTGTGTGGCAATGAAAATTTTTAAAAAAATTTTCATAACAACGATCATTTTTTCACCTACCCCTTGTCACCGACGAGCCTCGGGGGTAGGTGAAAAGCGAAGTGATTCGTCTGATTTAGAGGCGAAACGAATCACTTAATTTAATTAATAAACAAATACTTACAAAACTTTTTAATTTCTCTTTTTTATTGTGAGAAAAAAAGATCATTAGATTTTTGCTTAGTTCTTAGCTGAATTTTTAGTTGGCTGAACGCGGTCTTCGACTTGGCATGGTTGTTGATCTCACAGATACTGATCGGTATTACGATAAAGCAGAAATTGAGGGAATGTGCATACAATACCAGAAAATAAATTGTCCAGGTCGAGGGTAAGTTATAGCGCCATTTTCCCTCTTTTTTCCCAGGAGCTAAGTTAATTTTTAAGTTAGTTTTTTCCCAGGGTAAGTTATAGCGCAGACCCAGGAGCTTTTTCTTTTTAGTATTCTCAAGTCCTTCGTTTTAGTTTCGTTGAAAGGTCAGAATGTGTTGCGGAATTTAACAAGGCGATCCAAGATTACATCGATAAATCTGATGATGAAGGTTAGCTCTTTGCACATAAATGAACGTTGAAGTGTTTTAGGCTTTTCATGCTTGGAAAATCTGGGCTGTTATGATTGCCCTCTCAAAAAGGAATCTTAGCTGTGCTCTAATTAAAATTAGTGCTAGCAATACCAAAGCAAAGAATTTCTAAAATGTTCTTATGCAATCCACAGGGGTTCGTCGCACGTGCGCATACTTTCAGGGTCAACCATTGTAGTCGTATCATAATGATAGGGCGTGCATACTTTTCCAGAGCAAAGATTGCCTGATTATTGAAGCTTCCAGTGTGTTTACTTGGGAGAAGTTATTTTAAAAACAGAACAAGACACTCAAATCAATGAAGTAATGTGTCTCGTAGCACCCTAATTGATATGTATCATTTGCAGCTGTCTTTGTCCCTTCAGACGCTCAGATAGTATTGTACTGTTAATTCCATTTTTATTGACAGATTACGAAATTAACTTTATTTCAGAAGCCCTAATCGGAGTGCACTGCACTAATGGCGTAAATCGCAGCGGATATCTGATTTGTCGATTTCTGATCGAGCGCCTTGGGTGGTCGTCGCACGAAGCATTGGATGGTAGTTAATTTGTTATACATGTCTCTTGTGTCAATTGTTTTTTATGCGTGAGCTTTTTTTAGCATTTGAACGCGCAAGAGGTTATCCAATTGAGAAAGGTTCATACGTGCAAGCACTGCATAAAGCTGCAATTCAGTCCCGCAATCGAAGGTGAGACGCATAGAATTTCACTGCTCTTTGATACGTTCCATTTAATTACATTAAATATCACGTATGCACCTTTTGCTCTGAAATTTCACTCCATCATCGTCCACACTTTCACCAGTGTGCTAGTGCTAAGGGTGAAATCAATCCAGTTCGCTCTTCAGCAAAAATTAGCAGTGGCCGGCAGCTAGATAGCTGGGTAAATGAAATATGTGATGTGGTATAATCTGGGATTCAGCTCGTGCTGTAACGTAGCAGTGTTTCAAGTGAAGTATATCCCTTTTCTAGAGATGCTTCCGACGATAGTGACTCCGAGGAGCGCCGTCGCAAATCGAAAAAGGCAAAACGAAAGCGTGAAAAAGATGATATGTCAAACTTCACCGATAGTGCTAGCCAAATGGGTAATATCATGCAGCAGTTCTTTGCCCAACTACAAGGAGCTCATCAGGTACGTAGACCACTTTTTGAAAATTTCAGCAGAATACAGAACTGTAGGTTTAGGCTGCTGAATCTGGTAATGGATCAGGCTACGAGGGTTCTCCTGCTCAGAGTGGTAGCTATGTTGCTTCACCTGCTCAACAACACTGGGCTTATCAAACAAAGGTTGGATAATTAATGTCAGATGAGTTTCTCTTCACTCATTTCTCTCATTTTTTTACAGAACCAAAACCTGAATCCGTCATATTCTGAAAGCCCGGCTGATCAAAGTATGCAAGATGAAGAAATGGAGGAAGGAGAGGTTGGTTCATCCGCTTCAGATCTTTTAGACACTCATTTGAAGTGAAAATGACTGCGAATAATAAGACGTGGCCCCGAACCTCGTGTTTTAGGAATGCGAAGGCGGTGAAGAATCCGAAATTGGCGCTGAACAATCTCAAGTGAAGTCCACTGCACAAAAGCGTCGTGATAGAAGGATGAGAATGAAGAATATGCTTTCGGTGATGAAACGTGGTCGCTTCCACGAGATTCAGGAGATGCAGCGCGAGTTCGTCGCCAGAAGCGGAACCCAGTGAAATTCGTATGAATGTGCTGGGTCCATAAAAGCGCTTGGCGCAAATTCTCCAGTGCTTTATGAAATATAGGTATTAAAACAACGGCAGTCCTCGCAATATAGTGGTCGCACCCATATATTGTGAAAACAGGTCATAAATTAGCTGCTTAAGTAGCGTGGTGCCTTTCTGAAAGATCGTTGAAGGAACGTACCAACAACTGATTAGTAAGTTGCGGGTTTTTATTGTTGCTGTTAAACCTCATATCTGTACTTCTTGAAAATTTTCACTTTTTTTTGTTCATCAACTGGTACCAGTGTTTCCAATTAGTTTAGTGTAGTTTATCAGACGTGGTGCAAGCTTAATGATTTCTTGTTCTTCATTTCTATGTTCATTTCTTTGATGTTAAGTTCTATAAATATGGCTTGCGTAACTTTGAAACTTTCAATGCTGTTTGGAAGTGTCATCGGCTACTGTAACAGGTGGTGGTGGCAGGAAAGTTTTGAATTTCAATGTGCTAGTGTAGTTTAGACGCGATGGGTTTACCTGTCATGCCTTTCGACCTCCAACAACAGAGGAAACAGTATCGAGCACCTTTTAAGGTAAAATTACTATTCTGGAGTTCTGGATATCTTCAAAATTTAAATCTCGTTCTTATTTCGTAAAGAATGCAAAAAATAATCGAGGGCAAAATGTACAGTTTTGCGTATTATACTTTACCTACGAGGAGCTGGATGATTAGCTTGGCAATGGTTTTTGAACTGCTCTGTTCGTATCCCACCGCTGAATTTTTTACGTGAATTTTCCAGCGATAGCGAGTACGGGACCAGAAGTTTTATGAATGTTGGCTCGTCTTTTTGATTAGATGCCTTTCCCGAATTTCCCGATGTTCTATCAAAGGTGTCTCTGACTTCAATTATAGTAGTTTATGGTTTAGGTATAATTAAGCCTTATGATTCGGCTTTCTTTGTTGTGGAAGCAAAATGGGTAAATGATCAGTTAAAACTACTACTGTTTAATGATATTGAAGGCGATCTATTACCTTCGCAACTTTAGCTTGTAAGTTTTATCCTGGTTCCCTTATATGCTTACCGAGCTAATTGTCCAATTATTAAAGTTGTATACCTTTACACTAGAACTCTAGAACTGAAGCGAAAACTGAATGAGGCATTTCTCTCCAAAGCCTACGTGTAAGCCGAATTCTCATCGCTTTTGAAATTTGACAAAAATTAGCACTTTTTTNTTTTTTCACAGACCCGGTTGATTTTTGAGAATTATAAAAGCCTTTTAGCGCGTACAGGGTTTATGAATTAATGGTCGAAGTCCGTGCTTGAGGCAGGCCTGGTACTGATTCACCAAAACCAAAAAGCGTGGTTGGCTGGGTAACATCAATCTCGGTCATCAGATCTACGTATGGTTGGCGCCATTCACACTATCCTACTCTTTCTCTGAATACCCTAAAATATTAAGAGATGAACACTCAGTCTGTGGCGCACTATCATACATGCATGATCCGGGGATCAAATGCCCGATCGATATCCACCCAGACTAGCCAAGCCACCCAGAGTTCGGTTGATTGGTAGCCGCCCGGAAGGACAAATTCTTTGACTTGTACGTCGGCTGGCCCGCGGAAATCCTTGTCAGGGGAAAACGCATTCAAAATGCTACTACGTTTCTGATGTAAGATGAATGCGTTTTGCGTTCCAAAAATAGAAGTGATAAACTGTAAAACTCTATCCTAATCAGTTGGTATGAGGAAGACCGGAAGTGAAATAAATTCTTTATGATTCAATTGTGGAAGATATAATAATACAGAATTGAAAGCATTGAGGGGCTGCGATGAGTCGACATCGTTTATGAAATACGAAACCATATGTTGAAAGAGTTGAAATTTTCTCATAATCTCTACAACTGGTGTTTCTTTAAAAAGTTCTGAACCGAACTTTTCGTTATCTTCCATGAGTGAAAAAAATCTCAATTGTGATCATCTGAAGGAGTGTGCTGTCATAGATAGTCTCTAGATCCAAATGGTTCTTATATATTTGAACAATCAGAGGATGGCCTTAAGACTGTGACTTCAAGCCAAAGTCATCAATACCAAACCCACGCATATCACGCATAATCAAGCTCCGTATTTGGTTTCTTTGAGCTTCGTCCTCAATAACGAAAACTAGGTGCCAAGCCTGGTTTCCATTGAGTTCTACAAAATTTTCTTATTGACTATTGCCACGAATTCCTTCAAGGCTGAATAGTTTCAATTGTTTTATTCTTTGAGAATCAGGTTTATTTGTTTTATTCTGTAAGGGGAATGGGCATCCCCTCGATGTTATGCGTTTTCGTCCGGCTTTCACATTTCGTAGAAGTTCACAAAATTAAAACGAAAACTCTCGAAGTCCAAATTCTAAAACAATGAGAGCTCGATAAACAGCTGTTTGTGTTCGATTACTTCTGAATACAGCATTGTCATTGCGCACTCTGACCGATTTTCATTGAGTATCCCTCAAACTAGTATATTAACTAGTAACTTTATTCATTGCTGATTCGAGGTGAATATTCAAAGGGTAGATCGCGACAGAAGGCAGAAGAGGGTACAAATGCGTACAAAAGCGAAAGATGAGGTGGCCTCTCGTGGTCATTATCAGAAGCTAAGAAACATTCAGTTACCTTCTGTTATTGTGGTCACTTCTCTTGTTTTAGCTTCTCTTTTTGGGAAAAATGTTAAAGCTAAGTTGTGTAGACTATGCACGTTGTTATAGGATTTTGTCGTTTTCTGGCCTCTGATGATGTTGTCATCAAAAAAAAAAGAGCTTCGTATGTATAATGGGTGACTTATTCTAAAGAATTTAATTCTAACTTGTTTGCTTTTCGGTCCAATTCGTCCAATGGAACCCATGTTCGGATTTGCTGGCATTGGCTTCACGGAAAGGCGAAGTGATGGTGAAGAGAAATATGTGGAAACGATGTTGGAGAGTGAGTCCTGGACGGCCACGTTCTATGAAATTTGCCTTTCTGACAATTTGTTTGTTACCCAAACTAAGTTCTTATAGGACGAGTAAGCTAATTGCAACCCTACATTCATTTTTATTATCGATCGTTTAATCCCTACGGTCGTACAATCATTCAAGAAATGATTCGTTGCAACAGCTCGAAACGGTTTTGCCCTGGGTCCCCTGTATCGGTGATCAGCATGAAAATGATTTGGTTGGCTTAGGAAACTTACATATCTCGCTTCGATAGGAGCCTTTACTTACTATCTGCATTGGACCCTTCTAACGTGCAAATAATCGTTTCGAAAAGAACTCTCGCGGTTATAAAACTCTCTGGCTTGAAGGCCCACTCTGACCGTGCGATTAGCCTTCAAATATGGCATGCGATTCCTCAGCTGCTGCTGCTGCTAGTCTTATTGGTCTGAGCTATATAGAAAAATGCAATTCTAGGAAATTTGGGGAGGAATGACAACGGATTTGTTCGATCAAGTAGTAACAAATGGTATTTGCAGCTGAATTTATCGGAACTCACAGCTTTTCCTGAAAGCCACTGCACCAAGCCGGCTTGTGTGGAGTCGATGACATGGTCGCCTGACGGTGCTATACTCGCAGTAACGATGAATGATGGCCACTTACATCTGATTGAAGCGGAACAAGGGGTTGTACGGTGGTCAAGAAGGCAAGCTGTAGATCCTTGTTTGTCTTCATAACCCTTTGACGCGCCTCAAACTTGAGATATGGAGGCTTACATGCGATATTTGTTCTGCACCGTCCTACAGTGGCAAAAGAAGTTGATAGGCTTTTAAAACTTATTTTCGCACTTTTTGCCTTTGCTTAATGGGAACCTATGATGTTAAAGACTTGGTCAAAGCACTTGCGCTCAGCGGATGCGATGGTTTTGGAGTGATGAGCCTCCGAAAGGAAAGTCACGTTTGAGATGTGACTGGCCTGAGGAAGAAGAAAAAGCAGTAGTAGGTTTTTGTTTTGATTTCTTCACGATTCGTTGTCTGTTGTCTTTCAGTTTTTTTAGTTTGATTCCTTTGCAGAGTCTTATTTCTATTATTAGGCAAGCATTTTTGGCAATGGTGATATCGTGGATGAACGTCTTGGCAAGAGCTTGCTGTATCAGATTTTGTATATGAAGTCACTGAGAAACACTATTTTATTCATGGTAAGTGAATAGATCAGATAGTAAGAATTTCAATCGTGTAAAACTTTTAATTACTGCAGATTCGTGATGATTTCGTCGTGTTAGCCCTTGCCGGAGGTATTATACCCGTGTCTGAAATCAGACTGGTGGAAAAACTTTGTGAGTTCAATTGAGCATCAATCTGTAACTTATGAAAACACGTAAAATTGAAGGCATAGATATGCTCATCTAAATATTAAGTGATCACTCGAGTGCTATTTTTTACTTTGTTTTTTGTTTTTTTTTTAAAGCGGTCATTCTTTTTCCGTTTTACCTGCTTCTCTAGCGAGGTTCGCAGTTTTACGGGAATTGCGATGCTTATGGAATAGATAGGACACTTTTCATTTTTTTAAAATTCGCTCCCTCCATTCTCCACTCAGGTTTGATCGTCATGGTCGGAACCGGGCGCCACCACGCTTTGACCTCTTTCCAAAAAAACTGACCATCATATATTTATCGTTTCTTCACTGCTGTTTTTCTCAGACCTCTTTCCACTTCAGCTCATTTGAAGCTCGACGTCATCAACATTTACGATGTGCTGTATACCAAGCGAGACGGATTGACAATAGCTGTGACAGATTACGGGCCTCGTCCCAAGTTGGATGAAGTGGATCGTGACGTGAGTGTGGAAGAGGTCTTCCCTGATGAGAAATGTGGTCCTTTTTGAGCAATTATCAGATGAGCGTACTTCTTTTCAGCCAATTTGCACTCGGAGCTCATCGCGCTTGTGTGGAGAATTTGTAGCGGACCCTTACAAGGGCGAAAGTACACATAGTGAGAAGGTGAGTCTGCTTTCCTGGTTCATGGCTAAAGCTTTCCATTCTACATATTTGTAGATTTAAAAGTAAAGTTTGATTTTATTCCAATGGATCTATCAGAACAATCCGATATACTTCAGAAATTCGGATCACCTTCGTTTATGGCTGATGCTATAAATTGTCCCCATACCCATCTGGTTAATATCGATTTCAAACTAAAAAATGAAGATCTCTTATGGGAACTCCTGCTGAGGTTTGCATTTTGTTGGTGAGTTGATCGCTTTATGGAATTTCTTCTTCAGATATCTGAAAATGTATCACTGCCTAGTTCATCTGACGTATTCGATGGAACTTGCAAAGAAGGATTGGGAGTCTGAGAGTAAGGTAGGGGTGATGACTGTCTTTGTTCGCTGTGAATTTTCGATGTGCGTAGTTATTCTTTAGATTTTCGCTAACCGTCTAAACACTACTCCACACGATCTTCGTCTTGGTGATGCTCTTTTGAATAGCCTATTAGGTGGAGCCCCTGGCCCATTAGCAGAAAGGTGATTTTTTTAATTCAGAGTATTCGTTATCATTTTTTTCATTCACCTTCTTGACTTAGCGATGGATGTGTGTGATGGGTATTTGTGATTTATGACGACCTGGCGTGATATTTGCTACACTGTGATTTGTTACGCCTCATTTTGAGGGCTGGCCATGAGTTTTGCTTCTATTCGCAAAGTTATTACCTCAGCAATGATAGGGCTCTGCTCTACTGCATGGTCTTGTGATCTTTGTTGGGCTAAACCTTTCAGCAGTTTTCTGGAGTATGTGTGAGGCCGCTCCGTTTAAGAATTATTAGAAATTCTCTATTTATACGTTCACGAAGAACTTGACACAAAGGATTGCGATGGTGCTGCAACTGAAACAGAGCTATTACTGTATTATCGGAAACAAATGAGACCGGGCTTTAAAACGTACATTTTGAGTACTAGTAAGAGATGCGAACAGCCTCGTTAATGGCAACAATCTAATTCCTTTTTCAGATGGCTTGAAAGAACGCTTGGCGCTGCAGGGATACAGTCAATGCGTGAATTCGTTGAGAAGAAGTTCAGGTACTAGATAACATCTTTTTTTTATCAAAATTTTCAAGCGACTGCTTATTTGAGAAGGTAGTTTTTTTAATCTGAATTTCCAGCGGTTTGGTGGCATTGTTACGAGGGCAGCTATCTGCAGCAGCGAGGTCACTCGCCTTTCAAATGGATCAGTATCGTGAACTGGTCATGAAGCTGCAGGACGCTAATTTAAACTATGAGTAAGCTTTGTCTTGATTTTTATCTTTTGTCATTGCACGTTGACCTTGTAGGAAGGTCTATTGAGCGGTTTTGTTATGTCAGGAAAATATTATTAAAGAATATGGTTGAATTATAGGAATTTGGTTTTACCGTCGTGGAATGCCACTAGTCGACCGAGCGAGTTTTCATCGGCGTCCAGCTCTGCTCGAATCCCGGATGTGACTGCGGATCACGTGTTCGATGCGTTGGACTCGAATACTTCACGACTCATTCTTGATCGGTTGCATTCAGGAGGAATCAGAATTCAAGCAAAGTGCGCGGAGATGACTCAGGCTGCTACCAGTAACTTGTAAGTGATTCTAGCTTAGAAGAAAGCTGTTGAGGTAATACGCTCATTGTTCGGCGACGAATATGCGCTTCTCTCATTGAGCTTATTTAAACGCAGGCCCTGTATTTATTCATTGCGAAAGAGTCACAAATTTTTATATCTTCAGAATAAAATTGAATTTGTTATTATTGTATATTGTTTTGTAGTGATTGTAGCCAGTAATATGGTGATCATGAAAGTCGAATTTGTTCTTCCAATTAGCGCGAATCGAATGAATTCATTTCAGAAGAGAGCTGTCACAGCTGGTTCGATGGATGTCACTATTAACGCCGCTGCTAAAGAATACAAAACGTCCTGCTCAAATTATGGAACAGAACTGCAAATGGGACGTGGCCAGTTTGCTGAAGGTAAGTTGGGATTTTATCAGACAACTTTTCGATCGGCACTAATTTCGATGGGGCTTATTCAAAATGCGAAAGTATGGAATGGAAGTGCAGCTTTTGTTCTGCGATAGGATCTGCTAGATTTGCAAGGCAGAGCTTGTGACCAAAAAAACTGAAGTTTTAGGAACTTTTGAGGATTTTAGGATTGCTCTTCCTTCACAGAGTCCATTTCAATGAATGATACGGATTAGGTAGATATCGCTGATGATTTTTGTGTTTAGTATATTGTTCAAACGTTCACGACGGATCGTAATGAGCGCGAACTGCTGAGCCTGTCGCTTTTTAAAATTGAGGAGGTTCTCAAGGTGCGATAAATTCAATGAAGAAGATAAAGAGTCACTGGTTTCGACTTTTGTGTGGAACTATCCTTTTCTACGCATCACTCGGTAGCTGTGAAAGCGAAGTGAAGTTGTTTTAGGAGTTACGAGCCGAAGAGACAAAGGAACATTTCTCACATGACGAACTTGCCTTGAAAAGATCTGAGGATGACCGAACCCTTAGCGAACTCTTATCGTCTGCGCGCAAGGTATTTTTTCTAATCAGTTTACAATATTTCTAAAATCTTGAGATGGTTCTTTGGGATAGGAAAGTGCAAAGGTAGTGAATACTACTTTTAACCCACAGCCTGAAATTATCATTTTTGTCGAAATTTCATGAGTGAATCATTTTTTTAGACAGGATCATCGTTTTTCAAAGTTTTTTTCTACTTGAAAATTCAGGATAAGTATTTCAGTGTCCTGACTCACCAATGTGTGAACCGACGGACACATCGACTCCGCGCGCAAATCCAACCCATTGCCAGGTGCAGAACGATTTCATCCTTGACAAGGTGCGAGAGCTTGTATTTCATAGAATTCGGAGCCATAAAATTGCTTGAATTGAAGAGCTTTCCATACACACTCGCCCTGAAGTCGTTAAAAATCTGTGTGTTTTTATAGGTCAACCCGTATTGGTCCGAGGGGCTCGCTCAAGAGACAAAAAATTTGCTGGGAGATCGATTTGGATTGGAAGGAGTGAAGGATGTTACTAGTTTGGAAGACAGAAGTCTGCTTGATGTGATCAAAGAAGTGACAGAAATAGTGCAAGGAGCAAGTTTGTTAATGATTCAGAGTGACGCAAATATGAAGGTGGTGAGTTCTCAAAGGAGTGTATAGAGCTCCGTTCTACATAATTCTTTTCTTGAAGGTTTGATTGTCATTTAGTTCAATGTATTTCTAGAAGTGGATGTACGAATTAGCGTCAGACGCATCACACTGTGGCTTTGACTCGGTACGATTATCGTTATTCAAATGGTCTAATGCGAGGGATATGGACGTTTATGAACGAAAGTTGTTTGGTATCAAAGGCAAGGATTTGGAGTGAGTAAGAGAATCTTTTCTTCATCTTGAGCTATTTGATCGATCGAAAAGACCACGTACAACATAAGCGCAGAGTAATTTTAATTGAGTGGATTCAGTTTCTAAGGTGAAAGGGCTCAGAGCCCGTCTCTGCGCACCGGCTATGCAGGCAACAGTTTGACTGCGACTCTCATTCGCTAAAGAGATTATGTTCTGACTAGGTTTGAAAGGAATAGGGTTTTGTGGTTCATTGACAGCTGTGTTGGCTCTGGATCACTGGTCGCTGTGGATAAATCGCTGCAAACAAGGTGCAACTTTGCAGAGGTGCGATCTGTGCGAGCACGATCAGCCGTGGTGGACTTGAATGCGAGTGCCTACTGCCTCGCGGAGTCGGAAAGCTCAGAGCCGGTGTTCAGCAGGAAATGAGCGTCTCGGTAGCCATGCAAGCAGGAGTACGCTTACTTACCTATTTGTTATTACGAATTTCCATTTGAATTTGCTATTCTGAAGGGGTTCGTAGAAACAACTCCTGTCCAAAATGAAGCCGCTGGTTGCGCAAAGGCAGATCATCAGTCTGATGCTCCTTTACAGTTGGTGACAGATGAGGTGGTTCATTTGTGTCGTTATGAGTTTTGAATGACATCTTTGAAAGATTCTTATAATATCTGAGGAGTGGCTGAAATTTACTGAGTGGCTACCAGTTTAGAATGCTGTGTTCGGAAATATCACCAAATTCCTTTCGGTTGAGATGTACGCTGGTGGTCATATATACGCCCTAGTAAGTTTTTTTATTTTGTAGTTTTTTAAAAAATAACTGGGAGGCGTTAGCATTACAAGGAGGATCCGAACTAGTGTGGTTTGCTTTCATCAAGATGTCTCCGATGATGGGGTGTGGTGCAGTAGATTTGTCGCGTCGCGGCGAGAGGCGTCGTGCGCGAAGGAACGTAGCAGAATGTAGCAGCAAGTAAGAAATACAGGAACAAAAGATCTGGCAGTAGAATCATGCCAAGAGTAATAATCGCATATCGACTGGGCTGCATGAAGAACGCTAGAACTGTAATAACGAGGCAAATGATTCGCGGCAGCCGCGTGCGGCGGATCGATTGCACAAGACCGTTCCTACTGCCCGTCTCCCTCGGTGATGCGATATTGCTATAATTAGCCACATTGTTGTACTCTTACACCGTCGTTATTTTATAGGCGACTTTCAAATCAGAAGCTGGTGAAATGAACCGTCTAATGCGGAAACACCCCATGATGGAGGCGTGGTTCGTCCATAGTGTAAGTATATCCATTCTATAATGATCGAACATTCCGCTTATGTTAGACACGTAATTAAGTACGAAGCTTCCAGGGACTGACAGCAGACCCTTGTGATTTGGCTTGTTTATCGACAGATCGCCAACAGGGCTGCATAGTATCTGAAGAGGGCTGCCGAGTGGCACTGTTCCGGGTCCAAAATTCATCTGTTGACGAGCAGCCTTCTTCCCTGCTGACTGAGGCACCAGTTCAACGGCCAGCACTTCAGCTGCTTACGCATCACACTCGTTAATGACCGGTATCTGACATTCATAGTTGTTCTCATTTCCTTAATTTTTGTTCACTACTGCCGTAATTCTGCTACATTTCTCCAATAAATAAGTCATACGAAAAAAGCCAAGCCATTCGGTATAAAAAAAAGATATTCTCAGTGGTAAAGGTAGAGAACCTTCCTATCTGATTGTTGCATAAGCGGCAGTAATTTGAACGAGAATCATGTGAAGTTTCTCTTTCTACAGTGCTCTACGGAATAGGACAGGAAGCAGTCGTTTGTTCATTAAAATTTCTTATCCCTGATTGTCGAACTTTATCAATTGTCCCTTTCTCTTCAAAGTATCCGCTTCTCATATTTCGAAGTAGCTGAAGAAATCGGAAATTCTTTGCGCTGAAAGCGTCAGCGCATCCCGTGTTAGATAGGATGTTCAGACTGAGATCAGTCGAGTGCTTACAGGTTTCGTTTACCTCCAGGGCAGTTTCAAGTTGATCTGTGCAATCATGGGTCGTTATAAACACATTTTTAATAGCTTTTTTGGTAAAATTTTGAGCGAATTGATCCTAGTTAAAACTAATTTTTTTTAAGACCACAGACTATCTCTGGAAATAGTAGATCGAATTGTTGACAGGGACAGTGTCCATAATCCATCATCGGTCGGTCAGCATTCACACCACGCTTTGTGTCGTAGGGACCATAGGTTCCTTGTGTTGAGGGGTGTCTGCACGGGGCAGACTATCTTAGTGTGCTGCGGAGAACACCGTTAGGATAACCTAGTGGGAGTTTGGTGCTGCTAGACTTAAAAACACGCATTGGAGAGGATGCGAGCTAGCGATTGTAACGTAATTCCTAGAAGAGATAACGACGGCTCGATTGCTGCCCGGCCATTCGCCGATGTAACGGGAGGTTAAGCAGACGGTAGCATGTGCGACCTTTTTTTTCAGAGGCTGTCGCAGCTTCGTCGGTTGCATTGTTTTCCAAATTGTGCTTCATTTTGAGATATCGCTTGTCATTTTGTTACCATTCGTTTGTGTTGTGTTACGTTATTAGTAACCGCCCTTCCTCGTGGATAAATTCAGTTGTTACGTAAGTTGTTTATTGTTTGTTAGTGTCACTAGAAACATCGTGCAGTGTGAAGAAGAAAAACTGTTCTAAAAGAAAAGAATTCGTTGGTTGTGTCCTTCCGCTATTGAACTACACTACGGAAGTGATGATTCAGTGTGGGTCTTCGGCTCTTACAGTAACCCCGCTGGGGCCCGTTGCTCGAAAAAGTTGTCCTGTTGCCCATCCAGTCATGCAGTCTTCCTGCCCCTTTTGATGTCGCATATTTGGTGGGTAAAGGAAATAGGGTTATGCCGTGAAATGAAATATATTGTCTGTAAAAATCCGGCTCCTTTTTTCACCGTAAGGTCACCGTGGGAAACGAGTGTTGGTATAGTTTTGGTTGTCGTAAGCGCGCTTCTCAGTCACTGGCTGCTTTCATACTTCGACGTGCGTGCCGGACTGCAGGTGGAATCGCAGGTACATCTAGCGTGCGGCGTGCGAACGGCTATGCGACGGCGGCCCTATCCAACTGTGTGATAGCAGCCATCTTCGATTAGCGGTATCGACCGGTACCCACTGCTTTCACACAGTTCGATAGCGCCGCCGTCGCATAGCCGCTCGCATGCCGCACGCTAAATGTACCTGCGATTCCACGGCGTGCCGGCACGCACGTCGGAGTATGAAAGCAGCCTCTGTCGGATCAATTGGTAACATGTGTTCTCCGTCAAAGATCAGTGCAGAACGGTTTGTCATTGTTAGGGTAAGTGTTTGTTGTGGGTGGCTGTTCATGTATAAAACCCCAGGTAATCAGATTCACGAAAGTAAAAGAGTGGAGCGAGCTCCACTGCAGTAATTTGAGTTGGGCAATTCGAATCGCTCCAGCATAACATTGCCAATTTCAAGCTTAAGTTGTGGAATTCGCTTCCAAGACACTGCTTTAGATAGGGGTTAGATTTATTTTTTTTATTTGAGCTGCATCTTTTATGTACTCAACTTTTTTTTTAAAGGATGGGATATACCAATACTGTGTCGTAACCATACCATTGACGGAGTCATTTCTGAGACACAAAAACTCACTCTGCATCTGCATGTGACCTATACTCGGTTTTCAGTAGCAGACGAACCTAAGATAGCTGTCATTAATTACAAGTGTGTGGGAACGGAAAATTCCCGAGAAAGTTGAACAGATCTGTATAAAAGAAAAAACTCACTCAGGTAAGTTCACAATTATTTCATGTATCCTCCATCACACGATTAATAGTCATAGAGGGCCGTTGCACAGGCTCGCTTGGAATGTCCGGGTGGAAGGGAGGCTGTTCAGCTCGGATGCAAGCGATTCATCCGCCTACGTCCAATAGATAATTAGACACAATTGTAGCATTCTGAATTTTGGTATAAATTGTTGGGAATTTCGCTTTCACAAAATTTGCAAGATGCGTCATGAATTGTAGCTAGAAGCAGTATTGGGAACAATACCAAGGTTCGAAATATAACGGTAAGTGGCGCTGCTGGAAAGTTCTTTAGTTTTATCGGTGTTTTTTTGGTTTGAAGCATTTGACTTATAAAAATAAGCCATAAAATTAGCTGCTTAAGTAGAGTGGTATCGCTAATAATCTACTTCACATGGTACTTCTTGTAAGTTTTCACTTTGTTCAGTTTTGTTCCTTGCTTTGTATCAGGCTGCCAATCGGTCCAGTGTAGTTTACCAGATACTTTGTAGCTCGCTAATTATGGTCTAAGCTTAATGATTTCTTGTTCATCATTTCTGTGTTCATTTCAATCATGTTGTTTTCTATAGATATGTTTGCTGAATCTTTGAAAAAAAACGTATCAGTAGGGAAACGTTAAAAAAAATTCTGAATAAGATTTTGATTTTGAAATGGGCTGTTATCTCAACATTTGTCTATTCTTAACAACTGTTCAGTTAGTTTTCCAATTCGCGTTCTTGTTTTTAGTTTCATTTATTTTGACTCTATGGAATTATTCCGGTATTGCGTTGTTTGACGGCAGTCACTCTGGCTCCAGCAAAAGTTACAATCGGATTTTTTGTCGATGTGGTCAACTTAACACCAAGTAATTTTATATTTCTTGTTTCGAACCTCTATTTTTCCTTTCTAATTTTTACACGCTAACGTAGTGTCCCAAATATTTTTTGGCAGAAGCCCGTGCTGTAGAACATCTACATAGCTACTTCAAGGTTATTTCCATTCATTCGAGATGACGTAGTGGCGTAAAATGCCACTGTAAAAGAAACTTTCGAGAATCTCAACATTGCAAATGTGCGATCAATGCCAGCACGATCTGCACTGCTGATAATGCAGAAACCTATTGCCTCATTGAGCTGAGCTAATAACCGGTGTCCAGCGGAAAATAAGCGTGTCGCCTTTCATGAAATAAGAGGTACTCCCATTTTTAATCTTTTGTGCTATCGTTTTTCATTGGAAACTTCTTTTTGCAAGGATATCATGGGAGCAAAATCGGTGCAGATCGGTTCTAAGAACAGATCATTAAAACTGATGGGGATTCACAGCTAGCGACAGACGGATGGTTTATTCGCACTGATGAGAACGTTGGATAACAAGAGTAATGCTGCGTAAGGTAAGTTGCTACCATTTCGAAGTGCTTTATTCTGGAATATTTTCGAATTTTTCTTCGGTTGAGGTGTATCTTGGTGATCTAGCTCACCAGTGTTACCTGCTTGTTGTTTTCTTCGTTGTTTGCATAATGCTAGGCCATTGATCTGGCTATTACAGCAAAGATAAGTACTTATCTGCTGATACTGGGCGCTTCCGCATTAGATGCGGGTTCCCGCTCGAGTTGCGGTAAACGCACCACGGGTACCCACATTAGTATGAATGCGCCCACTGAGTGCTAAGATTCCGCGCCCACTTTCTTGTTTTTACATCGCTGTTAGGACATGGACTTAGCTGGGGACAGTACGAGCGCAGAGAGGGTCACTCGAGGACAGGAATTCACAGGAGGAAAAGAACACATAGAAGGAAACTTACCCATTCTCTGAGGAGAAATGATTTTGAAAAAAGGCAACGTTTACTCATTCGTTTCCCTTCAGAGGATATGTCAATCCCTTCTACTGTACATTCCTTTGTTTTAGTCGCGTTTGCCCTGTATCTACAGCAGCCGTGCATAGTTACGTTACCCTTTTGGTATCGCTCTCCCTTGGATTAGGTTCACCGGAGTCATTCAGTGCTGGATTCTCAGGTTTTAGGTTTGATGGGATGAATGCAAAGGAGGGTCTCCACAGAGCCACGCCCAGTGCCCATAATCTTGTGGGAGGGTCTGGGAGGGAGGGTCCAGCAAGGGTCTACTCAGTTTCTTTCGAAACAGCGAGAGATGCAAATTGCTCCACTTGCTATGCTTCTACCTGCATGCACTTAATACTACTCGTTACGTTTATAGTAATAGCCTTCACTGATGGGAACTCCATTAGTTGCGATGCTTCGAGTATTGTTGAGAATTTTGTGCCGTAACAAAAGAGAACAACTGTTAGGTTCACGAAAAGATGTCAGTGGGTTTTTTTTTCCAGTCCCTGCTGCTATCTGCACTTGTCAATCCTTGCTGGGTTGGTTTACAGTGACGCATTTTCCTTCAGAAACGACAAAAGCTCGAGGGTTCAGTCGTCGGCATTTCTCTTTGCTTATCTCTCAACTGACTGTTTTTTTAAATGAGCGAGTGGTGCACAGACATGACACAACACTTTAAAACAAACTGGTTGAACATGATTATCAAGTGAGAGCGCTCCTGGCGCTTCCGTAGTGAAACAACAGAGTTTTCAAAGTTTTCGACAACACAACGATGTTGAGCAGACAAAATGCGAATATGAGCAAGTAAAACTTCAAGATTATCACAACAATTTGAAGCAGATCTGAATCACACCGGCGAATCAATGACAGATATATTTTGTAAATAATGCTAATGGGCATGGTTCAGAAAGCGCAATCGGAACGCGGGGACCCTTAGAATGCCGTACACGCCTGTTCTTCTGTCAATCAATTCTGATCGATAGTTTTTTACCCGAAGCTCCGCCCCTGGTTTTTTTTATACCATGGCCAAGCTTATGTGCCAAATCTGCTTCAGAGAGGGTGGTATTAGGTGGTAATATACAGAGAAAATCTGTGTTGAAGTTGTCTTGCAAATTGAGGTACTAGTGGTGGAGCTTGTGGAGCCTCTTATTCCAGTGGACACCCTGGGCACGCCTGAATGGTTTCCAAGGCATTAATTGAACCCCTGTGAGGGAATGAATTCACTTGCTGATCCTAAGTACTCCCCCCCCCCCCCCCTCGGACACACACGTACACACACACTTGATTAGATAAGATTGATAACAACTCATGTACGACGTAAAAATTCAGCAACCGAATCTATCACAGTTTTGCAGTGATCCATTCGTTTGCTGAATTGAGGTAATCTGTTCGAAACACATCTAAACTTAGCTGAACACAACCAGTCAGTATGGGAATCGGTTAATATAGGAATCAGTACAGGAAACGTAAACAATTTGGTATAAGATATTCACGTAAGCTTATTGTATAACATGAGATCAATAAAGCCAAACAGGCAAAGTGACAAGAACTCATTGGCTTGGTTCTGCCAATGTTCCCCTATGTCCAGCTCTGGGATCAGTTTGGCAAGGAAACCGTCTCTTTTGTTCTCTGAATCGTGCCGTACGCTTTTTCGTGCATGACTCGGCTACTTCACTCTCTCGCACATTCGTGGAATTTCGTCGTGCAATTTGCATAGCACATGCAGATGGAAAGGATCCGGTTGTTGGGCTCGAGTGTAGGTAACTCGTCCACTGACCTTAGACAAAAGAGAACACATGAGAACTCTCAGAAGTTGAAGAAAGGACGAACCGCGTCGTAGCGTTCTTTTCGTATACGACATACAGCTGTCCAGGTATGGAGCGGATTGGCACCGTTGAGCATACGTGATGTCAGCTGGTAAGTAGCAAGCTGAAATTAACGTCATGGAAGTCCTATGTGACGATGAAACAAGGAAGGTATTGCCAAAATAAGTAAGCTTGTGAAAGGACTCTTTCCTGGGACAATGGTACCCACCGATGGGTGGCAGTCGCGCAGGAAAAAGGAAGCGTGTTCCCATGGGCGTCGAAATGTCACTGCCATTAAAGGATTGAAGAGGGGTGCCGGAACTTCTCCCAGAATTCCCACGGCAAGCGGCAAAGGTCACGCAGCGACTACCCTATCCTTGCAGTGGGAATTCAAACTTCACCCTCCAAAATGCGCAACTAACGCGATCGCGATCGGGGCGGCAAACGCAAAGCCGTTTTCGGGGAGAAGATACCGGATCCGTTGAAGAGATAGGATAACGAGATGGTAGTGAAAACTCACCCGACTTCCTCGCTCGCCTCCTCCATGGAGATGAAGATGCGTGTAGTGATTGCAAGCTTCTTGGTAGAGTGTTCGATAATCGGCCCGAGCATGCTGACACCAGTATGGGATCTGTGGCTCAAGATCCTGACGCCAAGCGTCTAATAAAGACGACATAACCCATTCGTATGCGAGACGATGCAGTTTTGCCTGAAAATACTTCCTTGGTTACACGCTGAGTCATCTTCTAAGCTTCAACAACCCTCTCACCTGCAACTGGCTGACTTCCAATGTGCATTCACGTGCGCAAACCATCCGCAATTGTTCTAGCGCCTTACGTGAATGAATGAAGACAAATTTGCCGAAATTGACATTGTCTCTGTCATCGATGCACAACTTTCGACAACAGAATGCATGTCCAAGCGCAAGCGCCAGAGGACTGGAATAAAATCAAAGGTACTAGGCTATCTTCACGCAGCAACCCTGACTACAAATCACCTGTTTAGCAGCTCCGGTGGACATCGCCTAACGACGGCATAGTGCTGCTTGGCCTTTTCACGTAGTCCTTGCTTCCAAAGTAGTGCACACGTGAAGACGTGCGTCCACCAAGTGCACATTGCGTCGCCTTCGGTGATCATTGTGGCACAGTCTGAAATGAATGATTCAAGAAACATCCTATCACACGTGCGCAACTCATTAAGAAGCATTGTCCAGTTTGCAAGTTTGCTGCGCAAAGCTCACCCCAGTTGTTCTCCTTTTTAGGGAGACCGTTCGAAGTAGAGATGCTAACAAGAAGTCGAGAAACATCGACGATGTCAATATCTTTTGCAGTGTTCTCTCCGCTCAGTTCATTAGCTAATAATGTTAGTAGCCGGAGTTTGAATGCCGCACGAAGTCGTGAAAGCACGTCTCCTGAAGTGAGATTCGAAAGCAGTACCGAGGGATGGAACAGGCGAGCACACAAGGAAATATGCCACGAGAAAGAGAACAACTTCGGGACAAACCAACCGTCATATTCGCCAATGATTGGTGACAGCGACAACTTCTTTGCATTTAGCTCTTTTCGCATTGCTTCCACATCCGACAGGAACTCCCGAGACAACGGATGAAATACCCATTGCAAACCGCTCACCTCGAAAGGAGAGATTGCGAACGAGCGATATGGAGTAGTTAAATTTTGCCAGAAAAGGCCATATATGACAGGTGCCAGTGGCCTCATTCGCAAAAAAGTTATTTGAGCCATTCTTAGGGTCATCATTGACTGGGTTCAGGCTAACTGGCAGAAGTGATCTTTTTTTTCTTGACTCCATGCACCGTCAATTCACACGGAAACAAGAGAAAAATAGAAAAATATCTATTGAGAGCACAGAATTAGAGCTGGGGTGATCTCGAGGGTGGATAGGGCTCAAGAGCAACTCACTGTTTCTTCATCCGCTCGTCGTATATGTCGCCGTGCCCGTTTATAGAAATATGGCGAGAAAATCGATGCGAGAAATGGTGGAAGGCAAAGTCGGGTTCTGTAACGGAATAGATGTGTTTTTTTTTTCAAATAGATACCATTAAATTTCGAAACCTGATAGCAGCAGCGATGTAGATATCAGCCAAGACGTTTCTTGGCAAACCATCTGTCGATGCACCGGCACTTTCAGCCAGATTCACGGCCGATAAAGCCAAATATAATCCCGAAACGCCTTCGTTCGATTCGTCAACGCCCAGTAGATGCAACTATAACATACGTAATAAGTGGTTCCATTGACGAACCGTTTTAGACTAGCTCAAAGGGCGGCGATGCGTCGTCCGCATTTAAAGTCGAATCTACTTGATCTTGACACACCTGATGCATTTTATGGTAAATCATTGCAGTGTGGGCGTGGCTCTTGCACACGACCGTCACTGGTTTTCCAGCATCTCGTCTTCGTCGAGAGAACCATCTATAAGTATAGTGGATAGTATATATTAAAGGGTTATACTTCAACACCTCGTCGCCACCGCACATAGGGTGGCTCAATCGAGTGGCCAATACAGACCTGCCAATCCAAAGGCCATTCAGTGTATGTCGTATGATCTGCCAGACAACCGAGAGTGCTTGTTCAACACCGGCTGATGGTAGTGGTCGTTCCAGGATCTGAAACGAAGATACCTATCCTATGAAACCCACTTTTCATTTTGGACTATCATATGAAGTTTCGAACTTGCACAATTTTCGGGAGCTTTTGGTATCATTTCCGTAACACCGTTTTCTCCTCTACCTGTAAGCATTCGATGTACTGCCGTTGTGCTTCTCGTATATTCCCAACGTTTGCCTCTTCACGCGCTCGTGATCGGAGCGTAAGGAACACACGCCAAGAACGCGATTTGAAGTCCTAAAAAACATCTTCTTTGGAAGTTGGAAAGGGGTGTAACATCTGTTCACCAACTGAGCAAACGTTACCTGTACTGGTTCACCGTAAACGAGTAGCCGGGTTAGCACACAGATGACAACAAAGATATTCACGGACCACACGAAGCACGGTTGAATTACGCGAGTCTGCCACCATTCATCCGGTGTGAGGTAGTTATCAAATGGATCTCCGCTCTGAAAAAAATCGGAATCCACCGGCACAAAAAACGGTAAAATCACCAGGGTTGACTGCTTGCAGAATACTGGTCCCTAGCGCACCTTGTCGCACGCGTCACAATCAGTGTGACTTCACCCCTAAATGGTGAAGAAAAAGCAACACACCAGCTGCTTGCACGAGGAGTCGGAATGGAACTGGCAGCTTCAATATCGCCTTAGTCGGGCGTCAGAGAATCTCACATTCTTTTTACATGCGTGTGGAAAGCGATATTATCGTAGGGATTTCCATGCCCAAATCTCTACTCCAACATCGCCAAACCTCATTTACACCCACTACTGTTGACTGTATTCAGTTAAGGTAACAAGAAAAGGAATATCTATGCTAACCTCACTGATGATTCGTCCACCTGAAGGCAAAGATTCGTGGTAACCGTTGCGGTTCGTTGAAACCGATGAACCAGTGGCTAACATGCTCAGCGGATTCCACATTAGCATTGCGAACATGATAGCGAAGATGGTCACTCGTCCCTGAATATTGGACGTTTATTTTTTAAAGTTCGAAGATACGCTAACAGAATAATTGGCAATAATCGTTTATCCGGAATATTTCCGATAAGCATCAAGAAGTTGTCGAGAAATTGATTTCTCATTCTCTACATCATAGAAGCTCACCTGCTCCATACTCGTTCGTGGACGCTTTGCCCCCTTCATTGGTAGCCTCGGTGAAGTTGCTGGAGACGTCTGAAGTGGAGAATTAGAAGAAATCGATTAGTGTATTTCAAAATCGTAGATACCGTAATGCCGGGAGATGATGTAGAGGAGCTTAATGCGGGCGATCCCATAAGCATCGTCTGTGGCGGTGGAATGACCTGCAAATCCGACTCGATTCACACTTTTTTTTCAAAAACTCTAAAATCAATTGTGAAGGGTACTGGTGAATGAGGTTACAGGAGTAGGCTCATGCCTGCACTCAGTAAAGAACGTCACCCGACAATGACGACTTTGGATAGAGACTGTTCACGTCAGACAGACCACTAACTGTGAAATGCGAGAAGTTGCTGATCTGATGAAGCGGAGACACATCAGAGAGCTAGACCTTCAAGAGGCCCGTCGGAAGGGTGCAAAGGCCAGAGTAATCGGATATGGAACGGTTTCGCAGACCTTGAACAACGCTCGGGGATTATCTCTAATGTAAGGGAAACTCCGAATTAGACAAGAGATGGATTCGCAGGAGAGAGTGAATTGTGGGTCTAGACGTGGAATCCAGTGAACTCTGAGGCGGAAGAAGGGGCCTATAAGCAAAAGGTGCAACTTCTAGAGGCCCTAGCTTTCTGAAGCTGTGCTGTATACATCTTTTAGGCAGGGAGTATTAGCCAATAGGCAGGAATCACGAATGAAACTTCAGTACGCTGAAGTGAGGATGCGAAACGTAGTTCTGGAAACGATTGAACTAGAACGTCAGGGCGGTCATGCAAATAGCTTTTATACAGCTGAAGATCTGAAATCAGTTTCTGCAATGGTATGGATGCCTTTTAGAGCCAGGATCATGCGATTGGGGAAGCACCGAAGCGAGGCTACAAGAAAGTGTCCATAAGGAGCTTCAAATAAAAGATGGTAAGGCGTGATCAAGAAGGGCCTCACCCAAACTAAAAACGGTAGAAAATGCGTCAGATAGGAGGAGAGGGAGACATCCGGCGAGACAGCCTTCCGGTGGCGCGGGATTAATGCTACGCCAAGGGGAAGGAATAAAAAAAATTCATTTGATTCACGTGGCTGAGGTCTCGGCGCGAGACGGCTGGGTTGCGGATATTATGAGCAGACAAAATTTCCGCTCATAGAATGGTCTGGAACCACACAGGTGCTGATTCATAGAACGGCTTGGTAGACAGAGCTAAAATAATAAAATATCGAGGTAAAAGTACCCAGACCAACCTCAATATTGTGGCTGTGGAGGACTGATGAAAGCCGCTGCACTTCCAGTCTCAGGTCTTGATTTTCAGCCTCCAGCCTACTAATATGCTCTATTGCCTTTCGTAAAGTCGCTGACTTGCTCAGCTGAAATACAAACGTTTAGTTTAGAGATCGCAACCAACCCTAAAAACTGTACAAGTGTCAACTCAAAAAGTAAAGAGATAAAGTTCAAGGATCACACTTTCGCATCGTCTCCGGCCAATATCGTTTTCAAGTGCTGTATACGGTCATTGATTGAGCAGCGATATTTTTTCTCAATCAGATTGTGGGCAGTTCGTCGTTCTGTTTTTGGGCCTGGAAAGAGAAATAATCTGAGTAGCCGGCTATCTTCATTTCTGCTGTAGAGAACATACTAAAGAAGTCAAGCGGGAGGATATTTGGCGAATGGATGAGGAAAAAGGTGAAGCACATTCACAGGTTGAAGAAAAAAAATTGGATCCAACGATAGGATCGCCTTCAAATCATCGATGAAACTACAAAGGATAGGGATGGTCGCTCATTTGGAGGTGTAAAGCAAGTGCTGCTCAACTTCATCATTCCTCTCGTATCTCTCCTAACACATCCTTGTCTCCGCTACATTGTCTCACCTTTACGTCGTGGCTCGTCGATCGTCAGCTCATCCTCATCGTCTGAATCATCATCTTGAGGCCACACATCATCTCTCGGCACTCTAGTGGCCACCGCCGAAGGACGTGATCGAACTATTGAATTTGAGCGCGTACTTCCTTTGAGTCGTTCCACCTGACCGGGAGACATGTTTACCTGAAGGATAAGCATGAGGGAAGGGCGAGTTGAGTTGGATTTGTGACGGTAACTAACCAGTAATCTCAGGAGTTCTTCCTTCGTGGTTGTACCATTGGTGGTGGTAGGGCTAATGGGTACAGAAGGTGGCATAAAATCGCCCATACTGCCACCGGACGATGTTCGAGTCATCTGTACGGACACTGGCGATTCTAACTTCACGCAGGTGGCCGCTGTCGTTTGACAGGAGGAATATACACCCGGCGAGAGTACATAATCTTGCTAAATATCTGTCTAATTATGATATCGTGGTGGTAAATAGGGGTAAACAGGCCAACCGTACCTCAGGCTGGGTTTGCATATACGTCTGTTTCGTATCAATGTACATCTCTGGCGGCGACATCACCGGAGGTAGTGGTTGCATGGAGGGAGCTGCCAGCTGCTGAGACTGCAAATACGACAGGACCCTCAAGGTATGAACCTAAGAACTGTGAGCTGTGAGAAATTTGAATGGGGGTTTGGAGTCTTTCACGCAAGATCTAAACAATAGCTTGCCAAGCTCTTTACCATTTAGCTGTTCATAAAACACAGCTTATCATTCCCTTCCGCAGATCATATCAGTTCGTTTAGTTTCTTTGTTTTGCGTTTTGGAAGTCACAAGGTAAACCCGAGTTGTTCACTCTTATCTCCAAACTCGTTCATAGCTAGTATAAGGTTTCAAAGGGTGTGCCGCTTTCAGTAATTTATGCTATAACGATGTGGCAGGTTTCCATGATTTAATTTTGAAGGCAAACTCTATTCAAGGATATTCAAAGAGGTGTCCAACGGATTGCACAGGAGGTAATAGGAGCAGTAATAGTTGGAGTATGAAGCACGTTGAAGAAAACCATCTCGCATATGGTCCGAGCATCAATTCCCATGCCTTTCTAACTCCTAGAGAACCTGCGAATCGCCAGCGATAGCACTCGGCTCTGCAGGTCATTGGGTTTTCGAATGAGCCCTCGAAAACCTTCAAAATTCATTGTTTGACAATGAGTCGTAAGCCAAACACATTCTAAAAGGGCCGGTTGGCAAACAGAACATTATAACCTTACTAATGTTCTGTTCTTTTAATAAGGTTATAACGTACTGTCCAGATCAAACTGGAGCCGGCCTAGATTTCTCACCGTGGCCAAATGACAGCGGTCACTTCAACCGTTGTCTCTTTTCCCTGTTGTTCATTGTTCGATTTTCGTACCCAATGCTCCCCTGTACTTCAATTCTTCATCTATTGGTCGTGGAGCTGTTATCTCCCTCATTCTGCCATCTCAGTCGACGAAATCCCTCGTCGCTGCCACCGATATTTGCAAGAACATGCATGCTTTTCAAGGCGCAGCGGAGTGATATCACAACTGGTTGACAGTTGACAAATGGTACTGATAAGATAGCCACATCAATTTAAATACTTTGAAATTCGCGTATTAGCACGGAACATGTTCGAAAAACAGAAATTTTAATCAAAGAGCAAAGTATACGGCTCTTAGATTATAATTCGAATTCATAGTACTTTGAAGTCAGCATTTATTATTTCGCAGAGGACGTTGGATGATAAGAATTCAACTCTAGAATTTTTTGAGCAAATAGAGTTTTTTTTCAAGATTAACTGTTTTATTAAGACTTCGGTCGCGAAATTTGTTAAGTGTAAAGTATTAGTCTTGATGTGTACCTTTGACTTATTTCAGTTTCTTAAAGGCACGGTTCGGGATAAAAATGGTTTGCGGGATTTAAACCCAGGATGAACCTGTGACCCCAAGAATAGTGCGAGACGTTCTTGAGCCCAAAAATGGCCTGGACAGGGCATAATAAGGGCTCAAAATCGGTTCAGTCGACATACACACCCAAAGTGACCATATTATGCTGGCCTTGTCGAGACTGCACAATTCACAACAAAACTTTAGGACGCTATGAATAGTACGCTCATGTGAGAGGTGCCCGGACGGTTACAGACACATAATCTTGTACGAATACTAAGGTGTCTGAAAAATTTTGAGAAAACTATGCCTCGCTCTTTGGAAACATGTTGATCCCGTCACTCTAAAGCCGGTCCATAGCTTCAATAGCAGGCGAAGGGCATTGTAGGTAGATTAATACTTCGATCGATTGGTATTCGACGTCGTCATTGGAGGGAAGTAATCATCCACTGAACGATGTGCGATCGACAAGACTACCGGAGCCATCTGCTTAGCTATTACGAAATTGTTCGCTTCGACAGTTAGGCTTGGATTGAGATATGGTGACTGATGGGCCACACTGCATCCTATCTTGCCACCTATCATGAATGCCATGGTCGTTTCCCTGAGAAAAGATTAGCTTCTGTCGAAGCGCGGACATCTCTATCATTAAATATCGGCACTGATCTGGCTGTAGTCAAAGCAATCCCCCCAATATTCCAAGACATGGAAGAGACGATTGTCATCCACGACTGTTCTACGCAAAATTCGCTATCTAGACAGGACCACCTGCGAATATCCCTTACTCCTTGACTGACCAGGAGCATCGTGGGCGAGTCAATACGTGTCAGAGGCTCTCCAAATAGGGCATGAGCTCATTATTTTTCTGCTCAGTCGGGTATTTCACAATAAGGTCTGATCTAAGTGTGATGCAGTGAGCGCAAAATCGAGCTTTTGCGTAGGCTAACGAGTTGATGGAGGGTATTTCGTAAGGGTATTTCGTAAGGTCAAGCGCCTCGATGAGGCGCGAAGACCTCGGGATAGAGGGGGCGTGTCAGGTCGCGCAGCTCCTAGGGGGCGTGACCTACCTAGAGCCACTCCGGCTAATTTCTGCTCAGAGTGCCCACCCACCTCCCCCTTTGTCAATGGTTTAGTTACGCCTTTTTTCAGGCCCGAAGTGGACGGCGTGGTCAGAAACAATCGCGATTGCTCGCAATGAAGGAAAAGAAGAATTAGCTCAGATCCTGGGAAAATCAGCCACGAATTCCCTCGCCCAGGGCACGATGTCGGCGTACTCGACTATGAGGATTCGATTCGAAACCTTCACGTCCTCCCTTTCTATCCCCAGGGCTCATTTAGGGAAGCTCAGAAATCTGTTCATCGCCCACTTGATACATAAAGACCAACTCAAGGCTATACCTATGGCTATAGCGGCTCTAAATTTCTTCTATGGGCGGCTGGAGGGAGGTGAAGCAGAGCTTCAGAAGCTCTTAGTGGACTCTGCTAAGAGAGAAACCTCCCCTGTAGTAAATAGAAGGAAGGCTTCAGAAGAGGACGTCAATGCTGTGGTTAATTGGGCTCTGTTAGACGGATCACGAGTAAATATTGAAGACGCGTGCGCCATCCTTCTATCTTTCCTGGCCTTCCTAAGGATTAGCGAAACGGCAAACGTACAGAAAAAGCACGTGCAGGATAAAGGTCAAGGAATTTGGTGGCTATTTATACCAAAATCCAAAACGGACCAACTGAAGAGAGGAACAACGACGGCGTTCAAAGTCGCGGGTGCTCATAAGTCACTATGGGACCAATTCATGAACCAATCGTTACATAAAACCGGCGATCACTACCTCTTTGGATCCACTTCAGGCCCATCGACGGATGCACTGAGGAAAAGGATTAATTCCACTCTCCATTCTGTGGGTTTACACCACAATGGTTTAACCCCTCATTCGTTTCGAGGAGGGGCGGCAACCGCGGCATTGAGAAGGGGCGTCAACCAAGAGGATATCAAAAGAGTAGGACGTTGGAAGTCCACCTCATCAATGCTTCACTACTTAGAACCTACTCCAATTTGAGGTGAAACTCCTTGGAGTTTCCTTTTCGCTCATTTAATCTGTTTATTTAGATTGCGACAGACTTCGTCGGGCTCGGTGCGAAACTTCAACTCTTATCCGCATGCATCGGAACATGGCCGCCTTCAAGGATTCGATGAAGGAGCTGTGATGGCTTGCTATGACCTGGCTAGCCCAAGACGCACGTATTCACCTCACCTCAATCCATATGACCGCCACACTTCAGAAGCCACATGCCTACTCGAAAAGGAAAAAAATCCAACAAAATTCAAGTTCAACCATTCTTCAAGGAGTCAAGTAGGTAGACGACGAATGGATTGCGTCTTTTTTTCTTAGGGAATGGCATCAGTGCCCTGTCCGGCCGATGGAGAAACATTGTGGCCAAGAAAAACCACCATCCTGGTTACTAATCCGAGTTTAGTATTGTAGTTATTTTTTGTTGAAAAAACTGGCTGAATTTCCTCCAAATTCTCCGGACACCTTATTACCTTGTTTTACTTTCTTGAAGCCTTTGATTTTTCGAAGTCAGGCGATTTTAACGCTTTTTTCCCACCATTGCACTATCGCGCACTGTGGCTTCTATTTATTCACTTGAACTATATACCTTAGAATAGTCGTGAACTGTACCTTTAATTATATTGTTTTCAATACTTCTCAACGTCTGGTCTCATCTTAATCTACGTGGATGTTTCGCTGTTGAACTGGATGCGGAAAAAGTGAACAGCCGATGAGCAACGGGAGGACATATATTTCCGTAAAGAACTCCTCCACAGTTCGCCGTGCCGACGACTTTATCATACAGTTGTTGCAGTGCGGCTCAGTATCAAAGTCATTCAATCAGTTTTGCTTGAAGTTGTGAGAATGATGCAATATTCTGAAGTTAATGTCTTTGTCGGCGGAACAGATACCAAAAAAGCAGCGATAAGGGCCGTTTGTAGTTGAACGGCCACCACGGCTAAATCGTTTCGTTTGACAGACTACTTGTTGGGCATGTGTGGTGTAACTCTGACTCGATGTCCGCTCGAAAGTGGAGTTCCGCGTTCCCGCAGAAGCGGTACTCCGCAATGGCTCCGATGCCTTTCGTAGATAAGCCTAAGTGGATTCCCAGGCAGGCCATCCACCGTTGAAGATTTGGTCATTCACAGTTCTTCTCTGTCTAGACAACTGCTTCTGTTGAGGTTTCATCGGTAAGACTTGTCGGTTTATGTTCGCAAAGGTGGCGATTACTGATAATCACTGATAAGTCATCGGTACGCGTCGACGAACACTTTTCTGTTTCATCGACAGCGAACCCTTTTCGGTCTTAATGATGGCTCCCCCTCATGTTCTTTTCCCAGCTTTGCAAATCTGCAAAAGTGCTGGAAAACAAACGGCACAGCTCATCGCGATGGCTTGACGGAATGACGAATACCTTTCATAAAGCTTTTTGGTCTCATCAGGGTCAATCTGTACAATTTTCCTTCTGAAATAGAACGAGGGTTAACATGAAGACTATGGATATACGTTAGATATTTTCACTATGTAACGGGCTCGAACGCGAGCACCATCGCTCGAGTTTGAGCTCGTTGCGTAATGAAACAACTAACGCGGAGAGACAACTAGCTAGCTAAAAATCGCCGCGTGCCAATGTTGACGCCTCTTGTTTCCATTAACATGTTCCTTTTTGTTGACCAGAGAGTTCGATGCCGTGAGCAATCCTTAGATCACCTGGGGGTTACTGTAGCAATGCGGGAAGACCTAGGAGTGGATCAATGGCTGTAAGAAGAAGGGGCTTTGCTGGTTAGCGTCAAATCGCCCCGGTGCAATCAGCGGAGTACTGGATGAGATTGATCTGCTGCACTATCCCTTTTGTAGAAAAGAGTGGAAGTAAACACATTCACTCTCGTCTTGCGAAAAAGTGCTAAAATCGCTTACATGACGGGTTTGTTTTATGGGTTGAATTATGAGAACACTGAAAGGTAAATTCATTTTCCCGGGAGTTGCCCACGGTGTACCTAATTTTGTCCCGTCCAAAATAACAATAGAGACAACGATGACCAACGCTTTGTTCGTCATTTTCCTTGTTTGGACTCGGGCTACGTTTTAACGGCCAGCGACCAACCATGGTTGATAGTTTACTGCTGATAATCCATATCACATCGGGAATATCAGCAATAAGCTATCAGGGTACAGGTTGAGATGCGGAGGTTACTGTTATCGAACAAGGAAGATCGACTCGTAAAACGACGACCCGTCGTCGCGAAATATGGCGACCAAAAATCACTTTGACGGAGAACAAAGCTCTTGCGAATGTGCTGTAGTACTGCTGTGAGCGTCAAATTTCATTACAAGGTCGGAAAGAGTATTTTTTTGCTTGCGTGGATAACGTACGCAATGACCTCCCCCTTTGTCAAGCAGAGCTCGCCAAGTGGACGCGTTTCTACCAGCATTAATACTCGTACATTTGTTTGGGCTCTGATTTCTTTTGGAGGCAGAGATTTCTTCAGTTCGGTCATAAAAACCTAGGTGAGCGAGAAGGAAGGAAGGCGTTGATGACAAGTTCGAGGAGATTCAGCAGGGTATCCAAAAGAACGTATGTAACTCACCAGAGAGCCAATCTGGTAGTGATTAAGCTGTATCGGTGGTACAGTAGGAGGGCCCAGCTTGGGCAACATGCTTGCCGGCCCACCACCGTTCAGGGAGGCGTCGAAATTCGGCGGAGAAAACCTGAAATTGAGGCTGTTAAGTGAGCGAATACATTTGCACTACTTTTACATGTAGCATTGATTGATTAGTTCAGTGCTAAGGTGATTACCTTCTGCTTCACCTACTGTTCTTCGCGCTTTTGATTTATTGGATGTCTCAGGCTTTAGGCAGCCAGTCATTACAGACGCGTTGGACTCGAATGTTGGGTATCTGGCGCATCCTTCGCAGCCACACTGCCTTAGAAGCGCATCCTTTTCAACTATCTCTTCAACGCTGCCCATATAACGCAATATCGTCCCGGAAAACTCGTCCTAACCATTCAGCATATCGTTTGATGACCAACTGGTCCTTTGCTACCATTGCTCCATATTAAAGGAAGGGCAACCCTGATCAAGGGCGAAAATTCAAAGGTCATTACGTTAACGCCTAGGAAGTAAAGAAACGGTGAAAAAGTCTATGTAGGGGGAAATTCCTTCTAAAGGAACTAATTGATTGCACCAGAAAGAATTGAGGTTTTGATTCTTCTGTACAGGAGTCTTCTTTTACATCCATACATAATAATGCTATTTCACCAGCCTTACATTTTGATTCACATTTCCAACGGTCTGGTTTATCCTTTATTATCTTACTTGGAGCTACAGCCTTCACTCCAAGCAGTAGATTTAACCAGGAGAGGGGCTTGTTGAATGATTGTTGAGCATCTTCTTCCCTTTTGTGGAGAAAGATAAACGATACGTTCAACAAGTTCCTTTCGTAAAAATGAAAATTATCACGACGACACAAATAACTCAATAAATAAATAAATAATAACTCTCCCAACCACCACCTTGTTGGGATTTTTTCCAAAAAGAGAACTTTTTTGAGCATCTTATTTCAGTCCAAGTAATTATTATCATTGCCACTGAATGGCTGCCTCGAGTTGCCGGCAAGAAGCTTCGTCGTTTGGGCGAGGCAATTAAAACATATGCCCCATGACAATGTGGCCAAAAGATCGTGCTTAAGGAGGCAAATGCAATACTACAGCGACGAAGAGCCAGACTTCAAAAAAAGATATCGTAGTCTCTTCCACCCCGTAGCCACTCCCCTCTTAAACCAATATCATGAGCGAGACACTGGTGTCTTGGCAAACTTTTACGCACTGTTTTGTTCATTTTCGGTGTATCAGAGCCGAATTTCGTAGAATGGCGGGCATAAAACCGGGGAAAAGGTATCAAAGCTCGTGGCATACCCGCTAACTTTGTCGCATCGCTCATTGTTAGTATTTGCTGAGTTTACTGGATAGAGACTCACTTCATCGCCGCATAGGGATCTGATGACGGAGGAGAATGTGATTGCAGGAGCGAAACGATAGAACCAATTTCACGATTCCTGAACAGAGCTAGATCAGCGCTCGATGTATAGTAACCCAATGGAATGGAAATGAAGGAGCACCAGTCCTTTTTTATGAAGTCAATGTATCATGGGAAGGATTATCGCAGCAATACCTATAGCTCAAATACAGATATCACAATAGAAATGTGGAAAGGGTGCTAAGGAATGGACCACAAGTCGTCAGCCACGGAGGCATGGGTGTCTTACTTCGTCAAGCGCTCATCTTATTGGTTTGTCGTTTGGAATTAGTCCCAGAAAATTCCGCCCACTTCTGTGATGGCATAACTAACCGCCAGAAGGGTTGGTTGTATTCCATTTCTCGGATGCATCATACTGTTTTGTCTAGACTCCCCATACCTATTTGGATCATAGTAGTCCTGCGGTGGGCTATGCTGATTCGGTCGAGGAACCGGTTTCGCATATTGGACTTGGCCGCCGCTGGTTTGTGGCTGTTGTTCATGCCCGCTCCATGAGGTATCCATTGGAAGATTGTCCGGACCATCCATGCGTATAATGTCTGAAACCGATAAAATCATAACAAAGTTATAGGATCAAAGTAGTAGTGGTTCTTTTCAAACACTCAGGAATTATGACTTCGCTAATTGAATGATTGGGAGGTTTTGTAGGGCAAAAAACAATATTTGATGAAATTTAGCGCAAAGTAAAGAAATCGCTAGGGGTATTTCTGTTTTTGAATCGACGATAGGGAATCAGGACCTGGCCCTCCACCCGTCAGGGTCATGGGTCACCCGTAGACTCACAAGCCCTCTTCTACCATTTCAATGAGTGGCTCGCAGAGACTCTGATCGCATGAGATAGCACGATTAGAACTTCGAGCATTCAATGTTTAAAAGTTACAAACTCACCGTACATCTCCCTTTCCAACTCGTTTACTATACTACAATGGGTCCCAAACGGAAAATTCACCATAGTGACTGAGCGAGTGCCAACACGCCAATGACACTGAGACAAGCTGTGCTGGCGGGTGTTATCTCTTCGAAAATACGAACAAATTTTGCTATATGGATGGGGGCGGGGGGGGGGGGGGGGGGGGGGGGGGACATTGAAGGGGGAATTCCCGATAGGCAAATATTTGTTTACTTACCAGTAATGTCTTCGAGGTTCGTCTCCAGTGACAGGAATGGATCCGAGACGGGAATTTCTGTGAAACTGTATTCCATCCCAACTAATAAATCAGTAGAATGTTCAGGCCATAGAAATCTGGAAAAGTAGACACATTGACTAGTTGAATACTCAGTGGCTGAAGTATAAGGGCTAAATTGGTGTTGAGGCAAGAAGAAAGACACATGATATCGAATTGTAGGAATAGCAAAACCGTCCGAGTGCAAATGACCAGAAGTGCAGCTTCAGTGAAGTAAAAAGAAATGCTGACTGTAGTAAAATGTGGTTTTCATGTGATCACTGCGAATTCTTTTTCAGTCTCGCTTTAGACTAAATTGATGAGGTAGATGCCTCTCAGCGATGATAAACAACTAACTTAGAAAATATCTGCCACAGTAGCGAGAGGGAGGTGCTGATGTTGCTGAGGTTACTTTTTCCCAAGTGGTCCATGTCGTCAAATCTAATCAACCCATAAAAATGCCAGTGGTCATAGAGTAGTTGTTGTTGAGACAGCATCGCTACTGTTGTATAATGTGTATTGTAAATGAATTTCATATTTCTCTAGAGTTGTGACCCAGTCCGTTACGTTACCGCGCTTGCTTAATCATGGGTGCAAAAAATTGGCTGGCTGCCTACTGTAATTTACCGTGTCCACGTGAATGTAAGCAGATCTCTGCTAAGCATCGACAAATAAAACCCCACGATAAGAAGTAAGTGGAACATAACGAGCGTAGGGAATACGCCGCGGTGATTACGAAAGGAGCGATTTTTGATACAAACAGAAGGGTTGATATTATTTTTCTTCCGTCCTATTCCATTATATTAGATAATATTGAATGGTATTGAAACGATTCGAGTAGAAGGCTTGAATTCTACGATACAAGCAACAGTTAAAAGGTACAGTTCATGTTAATTTCACAGTATCTAATTTAAGCCGAATAGTGGAAGTGATAGCCCAGAATAGTTCAAAAATAGCGAAGAAAATGAGAAATCGGCGTAATTAAATATATATCAGGCTCGAAAATTGAGGGCTGGATGAGAATGTGATACAGGACTTGAATGGAAGGGGTATTTGGACGAGTTGTCCAAATGTTCGCGCCATTGCATACATCTGCTGCAGTAAGCTGCAAGGTGCCCGTTGCCAATGATGGTGCAACCTCTACAGCTCTCACAATGCTCGAGAACTCGTCCGCCTTGGGTGTGTACGTTGTCTAGGCCGGATTTAGGCCCCTTATTACACCCTATCTTGGCCAATTTTCAACTCGACAGCTTTCCTTAGGTCACCCTTCCAGGACACAGTTTCATAGAGGGAGAATTTTTAGAGGCCATTTTCAACGTGAACTATCCATTAATATGGTGCGAATTCCCGGTTCAGTTGGCGAATAAAATGGCTTGGCTGAACTTTGGGGTATGCGTTATGCACCTAGCTTTTACATGAAATCGTTATGACTTTTTGAAGCGTTTTGTGGAGCACTTGAGAGGAATTCTATTCTTGTTTATAAACAGTCCTCTTCACACTTAGCAATGATTAAAGTAATTGGCGTGGACAGACTCTTATCGAATTTTTTTGAGGCAAAAAAATCTAATCGCGATGGAAACATTCACGATATGCCACTCTATGTTGACTTTTTAGGTTGTAAAGACGAATCATTCTTGATCCTTATGAGGTTTGTCTGCCCACGGAGTAACTTTGAATGCCTTTTAGTGGTAAATCTCGATTCTTCAAATTACTGTACTTCAAAGAAATGGGAACAGAAAGCATTTGCGAACGATGACAACAACACACCTTCAATCATATCTGTCTGGGTTTGAGGTAGAGAGTTGAATACAAGTAAGGTGAAGGAATGGCAGAACTACACTACCAAGATTTTTTCAGTCCCTTCTTAAATATTGAACGAGCCCAAGAAACAAAGAGGGGTTTCAAACCAACGATCAGGTGTACACGTATCAACTCCCCTGCCGACGGCCATTATGGCCGTCTGTAAAAATCGGCTCACAAATATATTGAAGATTGAGATGCGAGAAATCTTCATGTGATGAAGTCAGTAGCTGTCACATAGGAAACCTCCACCCTTCCGTAGTAAGAAACGATGAGTTCACTTCGAGAGTGAATAGTGAAGATGATGGCTTCTCTTACTCTTCACAGCACTGTTCACGATGTTCGATATCAAAATGAATGGAAAATAAGAGAAAAAAAACGTACACAAAGATGTGAAAAGTTGGCAATCTGTAAAACCGCGAAAAATATGGAGCGACGTTACCAAACAAATGTTTGACAAAGTTGGAAACTCCAAAAAAGTTATTACCAATGAGATTCCCAAGG